GGTTGGGTTGGCAACATTCGGTGGTGCTGGGGGTTCAGATTTTTAAGATTTGCCCTTTCGGGGGCTGTTGAGATGTGCTAGTAACCTAGTAACTGTTGGATCCCAACATGATTTGACCGCCCCCTCGATACCAATTACACAGCTCAAGAAGCCTGTCATCCGATGTTTTGGCTGTCCAAAACCCGTTCTCAGTGCTGAAGTCGTCGTAGGCAACAGCGCAGTCGTCGGAGTAGAAGTAATTGAAGTAATGATACTGCTGGCAGTGGTCGGAGACGGACCAAATCATGGCGACGTGGCAATCATATGGATGCCTCCCTGGGAACTGTATAGGCCTCCCCAGGAGCCATCATAACATAAGTATCAGGCAAAAAGAGACAGAAAAATCATGCACGCAAGCATATCATGGCAGCATGAGGTTTCATACCCGCAACGGCGGTTCCCTGTGTATATTTTATATAGCAATCAGGTTCTGCATGAACCGACAGCAGTGGTAAGTGTATACTATACTTCTCATGAAATTTCAAACCGCAGTGGCGACCCGCTAAAGCAAGGCTATATACATGCATGATCCGGCAACAGAGGTGAGTGTATACTTTAGATTCACATGTGCATGCATATGGGCGCATTGGCATCATGGTGCAAACGGCTCAAGCGTGTGATCAGAAAACACCTTAAAACGCTGAGACCCTACAAATCCGTAAAGTTCAGGGAGGTCAGGGACCTGCTACCACTATACTAGCTAGTATACTATCACCACTACCGCCACCGCTACCGCCAGCACTACCAATACCACTACCACTGCCTGCATTTCCACTACCATTGCCGCCGTCGCCGCCGCCGCCGCCATCACCATCACCATCACCATCACGATCACGATCACGATCACCACCACCACCACCACCACCACCACCACCACCACCACCACCACCACCACCACCACCACCACCACCACTGCCACTTGCACTAACACTACTACTACCGCTACCAGCACCACTACCACTACTACCACTACTACTACGACGACTACTCCTACTACTATTACTACTTCTACTACTACTAGTGCTACTAGTGCTATTAGCACTACTAGTATTACTAGTACTACTACTATACTGCTGATGCTACTTTATAAACATATTTATATATACATACTACTGCTGCTGCTGCTGCTCCATACTATGTTCATACACTAGACACTACCCCGTAGTTCTTCCTCTACTACTCCTGCTGCAGGCTCGCATGGCACCTTTGATCTTTGGGCATGCCTCGCCTGCCTGCGACCAGAGCAAAGTATGCAAAGCATGCTTGCAAAATTGCTGGTCGATAGAATAGAGCAAGGTAGGCACAGCATGCTTGCAAAACAACCCTCAATAATTAGATTAAGCCCCTAAACTTTGCACCCTAACCCATAAAGCCTAAAATCTAAACCCTAAGCCCTAAACCCAAATCCTGAAACCCTAACCAGTTCCTATAAGCCCCTCAATCCTTTCGCATTTGCTTCTAGTTGGGTTTCAATGTGAACGACGAAAATGAATTTAATCTTTTCAATATGACTGCATTATGGTCTTGACTGGGGCTTTGGACAAGATGAGTGGCAAATCGGCATAGCCGAAGTGGGTTTGAATGTAGGATATGACATATTTACGGATTCCCAGCGCGGGTTGAGAAGCTTTTCTGCGCTACTGGGATCTTCCGGGCCATCTAGCGGTGCCCTTAGTGGGAGAAAACGCCCATGAGCCTTGAGGTCTTAATCGCCATGAAGATGAATAATGGCATAATGTGGGAAGCTCTGCAGTACCCGAATAGATGTTTCAATTGGCACTGAACACCAACGAGAGACGTCAGAGCAGTGTTTGTGGCTTTTGAACCCGTGTGAGAGGATGATTCTCTCTAGGCCACTTGCCCGAGCAAGCAAGACTGCACGTCGTCGCTCAAAGCACGTCCAATGGCGCTTGTCTGTCCCTGACCTGCAGAGGCGGGATATTTCCTTTATTCCGAGAGCTGCTCCGGTTGGGTCTGTGTTTGAGTCGAAGAGTCGTTACTTGGAGGTTCATGGACAGTTATGACTCGGGGTGTACGTCCCCTAATATGGGTTAAAAGTATAGTTACTCTAGTCTCCAAGTAAGGTTACGATGAGAACGGAAGCAGGTCCGCGGCCAGAAAAGGTTCTCTCATACACCAAGCTAGGCACTTACACCAGCTGTATGGACACGTATGCATGGCATCCTGGTTTAGACTATTCAGAGGCTTCTAGGGACCCTACTTCAGGGACCGCAATAATTACCTTTACTTTTTTTGGGGCTCCTTGTCATAATGATATTATAATCCATGGTCCATGGCCCCTAAACCCTATTCTAATTGTTCGACCCTAAAAATAGTACCCCAAATACTAGGATCCGTATTACAAGGACCCCTAATTTTCGGAAACTCCAAACCCTAAACCCTTTATAGAACCCTCATAGTACCCCTTTAAAGGAACCCTAAGGTACCCCTATTTTCGGAAACTGCCATATGGGGATGCCAGGGACTGGGACCTGAGGGCTCCTTGGAGCTCCTTCTGCAAAAATTCGCAGAGCTGGGACGCAGCCGGCTGCTTAAAGCAGACTGCGACGTCCCAGGCCAAATGCTGCCCACAACAGCTGAGAGAAAAGAGGACAACATGCAGCGAGGAACTTGAAAGCTATATTATACCAAGCCTTGCTCCGTGCCCTATGCAACTCTCACGGAAACACAGGAAGTCGGTCATATTTATGGGTCACCAGAGCAACTGGACGCGAGCATCTGGCTGACGAACGCATGCAGCGAGCAATCAAGAAACTAATACTGCATCGCACTTCTGTGTTACTTGTTTCCTAAAGCCTGCATATTATCAAAAATACCGCTAGCAGCACTCCGTGCTAGTCCACATTTAGAAGAGACCGTCCGAGCCTTCTCCAACACAAGGACTTGCGTATCGATCACATCGGCATCTCGCCCGCCTCCTGGTTGATGACATCCAATGTTCTGCTCTCGTCTCGGTTCTTCTTAATTCTTCCAGGATTTCCTTTCGGTGTGCAAGTTCTTCGTCAACTCACACATGGTTGTGAGCTTGTCTTCATCTCTGCACACATGAGCCGACCCCGGGCGATGAGCTCATCTTGCTGCAGGTCTTCCAAGAGGCTCAAGCAGCCGAGTTCACCCACATGTCCTTACTTGGAGGTTCATGGGTAGTTATAAGTGGGGCTTTAAGTAGGGTAACTATAGTTATAACCCATACTGCCATACTATTAGGGGACTTATAATCCCACTTGTAAACTACCCATGAAGCTCAAAGGAGAACTTGCGCTGCTCCTCCGGAGCTTATCGACCTCTCTTTTCGGACTTGCTCCATCTTGCTCGCAGCAACTCGAAGTTGCCTCGTAGCCGATATGACGTTCTCCATATTGGCGCCTTTTGCATCCCCTTGCAAGCGTGCCTCCGGAGTGGCTCCAATGTTCTCGATTTCGCGAGAAGATGCTGCATTGTCCATCCACAACTCAAACCCTGAAGCTACTCCTGGAAATCTCCGAGCACACTTCTGGATCAGGAAACCCTGCGATCTGGCGGACGGTCGCTACACGTAGAAGTCCCATGATGGGGACTACAGTAACTATTGGTCATATGCCCGTCTAAGATGCCATGCTCGATTGAAGTCTAACGGCAACATGCACAGCATCCACACAGCAGGCGCCGATCAACGTTCGCAGACTCCATCGCTACCCTGCTCAGAGACCCTCCGCCACAATATGTCTCCGTGCGACAAATGCATGTCTGCATGCTTCTCTCAATGGCGGGGCAACGAACGGGTAAACCCTAGTCCCTAAATCCCGAAACGCCTAAACCTTTGAATCCAGACCCCTAAACTCCGCTGATGTCGTTACCGTTAGCATTGCACTCGGAAGGTAGTTTCTTCTCTCCGCACGCGCCGCAGAATCTTAGCCCAAAGCCGCAATGAACACCGAAAAGCCTCGCTAAGTAGGATTGAGGGTTCCTGTAGGGTTCTTTCCAGGTGTTTCCAGGGTTTCTTACAGGGTTCTGTTGGGTTTCGGGGCAAGTGCCTTCATGATGAGAGTATATAGGGCTTTGAGGTATACTTTACTCGTGCGTAACTATACAGAAATTATAAGAGGATACGCATCCTTATGTTTCTGACCCCGTTAGAATAGAAACCAACTCTGATGAAAGACGTAACGTGTCATTTTCGTTTATTGGTTCTACGTGTCATGTCTTAGGGTTTACGGTGCAGGTGCCTCGGTCTGGAGTGTAGGCTTCATACAGTCTACTCCTACAGAGCAGTTGCAAGACTGTCATGATCTCAGAGATCCTCGTGCAATGGGAGTATGGGTGCCTGGCCCTCTTGACAGCACTGCTGTTGCTGGCCCTGATTGCTTCGAGGCGGCCCATGCTGCTCATGGAAATAGCTGGCTGTTGGATCCAAGTGCAGCTTATGACCTCTACCACCTGAGTTCTATGTGTATATATATATATATATATATATACACACACACGTACATATATATATATATATATATGTATATGTATATATATGTATATATATATATATATATATATGTATATATATATATATATGTATATATGTATGTATGTATATATATATATATATACATATACATGTATACACACAAACCAGGTTCATATGTATATATATATATACATATGTATACATACATACGTATATATATATATATATATATGTATATATATATATATATACACATACATATACACATACATATAGATATGTATATATATATAATGTAGGACTGACTGCAGCTGGAAGCTCAGCCCAGGCAAGCAGAAGGGCTCGTCACCGGCAGCCCGGAACCTGATGCCCCAAAAGCAACCCAGCAGAGGTGAGGGTCCCGAAACCAGGAAGCCTCAGCACGTGTAACATAAGCTTGCGGCTACCTAGTAAACTTGCCACAGCCTCGCCAACCACCGTCACAACGATGCTTGTGGATACCATGGCAGTCGTCATCTTGGCGATGGTGCTGCTGATGGTCTGTAGTGGTTGTTGTGGGCACTAATGATGATTCTGATAGGCATGGCTGCCACTGCCATAGCTACTACAATGACCTTCGTCGTCAAACCCATAAAGTTTCTTGTCTCCCAGGCCCTCGCCGCAGACCAAAGCCCCAACAGCCCTGAAGGTTTGTTGCGTCCAGAAAGAATTTGGACATCGACGAACCCCGCGGCATCAAGGCGAGGTTGGAAGCAATTTGAAAATATAACGAAGGCAGCCCAAGTAGCAGTTGAACGCATGTCTCAGTCAGTGTGTCTGTGTGTGTGTGTGCGCGCCTGGACGCTTAACTATGCTTGCGTATATCTACACACTAAAGAATCAACAAACAATCCCAGAATAAATACCCAGATGTGGACACACACGTACACACGGCGATAGAGAAACATAGAGTTAGATGACTCAGATTGACAAAGTCGACAGCTCGGGCGCTTGCAACACATCGATTGAGACCATACTCTCATTGTGAGCCTGGGTGAGGATGATGCTAAAGAAGAAGATGATGGTAGTGAAAGTGCTTGTAAGCAGAAGTGGATGGCGGCTTCACCTCAATGATGCTGCTGATAGTGGTGACGGCAGTGATGATGAAAGTGTTTGCGAATTCTTCTTCTTCTTCTGATGATGATGTTGGCAATGATAACGATGATGAAGATAATGATGTTGATGTTGATTCGCATCAGCACCAGCACCAGCTTCATCATCATCACCATCATCACCATCATAATCATTATCATCCGTGTCATCACCATCAGCATGATCAATCTTCATCAGCACCATCACCATCATCATCATCATCATCTCCATCATCATCATCATTAGCAGCATGATCATGTGCATCGATTTTGCCGGTGCAAGGGATCCTGGGTACATCGCCTTCTCATTAGACTCCGAACCTCACGAGGTGGGTGGTTGCGCCCACGGATGGCTAATCTGGAGACATCAGTTGGGAGGTGCCCGATATGTGCTGGCGCCTATGGCTCCTGGGATCGAAGACCTCAAGTTCACGAGCCGAAATCGAGCCAGAAGGCGATAATACATCTGATATCGAGACCAATCCATGCATGTTTTGTGCCCTCAGGATGTCCGACTGAGGTGAATGGCTCGGAGTTGCCTTTCCGGCTGCTTGTTCGGCGCGCGAACCAGGGTGCGGTGCAGTCGCCTGTCTGTGTTTGGGGAGTCAAGGAGGTAAGATAATGTGAGGCATGTTCACGTGGGGGAGGTTCATGCCAGGTGACTGATGCGATCGGTAATTATGCATACAGGCAGAATCTGTTGAACCCAGAAGATTCTTCACAACCGCGTCCGTCTGACAGCAATCTCGAGCTCAGGCTTTGCTATTCCCCAATGTTGTACTGCAGCAAAGTACTGCAGGCTGGACCGGCGATCATGAGAATTGGGGCCTTAAGTTCCTTTACAGGGGTCTGTAAGGGAAGTACCATAATATAGGGGCATTTATGACACTTTATGAATTAGAACAGGGTTTTGAATATTTGAGGGAACTCTAAGGAATTCGAGATTTGCAATTTGGAGTAGCTGTGCGATGTGCGACTTGCAAGAGACCCTCGTGATCTCTGCCATACGGACCGCCTCCAACGAGGGGATGTTCCGTTTCGAACTTCCCAGATGGGGGTTTTCAGTCCGCTTTACGATTATACGGGGGCCTTAATAATTAGAAGAGGCTTTCGGGGCCCATTATACTATAACTATCAGAAGGAACCCCGCCAAAATAGCATTGGTAGTTTTTTCGGCCCCTACACTACATATACCCTACCCATAACTTCACTTGTAACTACACATCAACCCCCGAGCAGATGGGCGTTTCTCGGCGGGGGCTCCTTACTGAGGGGCCCTTGCAACCACGACCGGAATACTTTAGGGCCCCTCATTCTTTTGCGCAGCTGTATTACGAAAGCTGACACACTTTGAAGCAGACAGGCTCGCGTTGGTATTCGAGAGTCGCCCTCCTCTCATTTCCTGCGGTCCTACATGTGCCAGCACCCGGAACAAGAAGCACGACATGGAGCTCCTGAAACCATCGAAGCTGGAACCCTTCATCCCAAAGCATCACCAAGACATGGACCCCAAACAGCTTAAGTTCGAGTTAGGATGCTTCGGATGGACTACTTTGGCAGCACTTTCTCACAGACTCTGACGAGGAGCAGTTGAAGCTCAAACCTAATCTGTCTTTTTGATATCTACATGGTTCCGTTGTTCTCGTTTTACAACGTTAGGGTTTCAGAGGGTTGATTGGGGCTTAGGGCTTTGTTTAGGGCGCCGGGCGTTTCGGGAATGCAGGGTCACTGAAGCCTTGTGACTTAGCAGGTCGTCAGGGTTTCGAGGACTTGTGAGACTGTAGGGTCTAGCTCGGTTTAGGGCTTTAGGGTCATGGGGTTTCGGGTGTAGGACTTGGGGTTCAGGGTTTGGGGTTGGAGTTCAAACTGGCCATTCTTCCCCACTACCCTTGCCCCTCTCAACCCGAAGCCCGAAAAGTGAAACCATCCTTTACCCGAAGCCCTAAAACGAAGGCCCAAACCCTTCCCCTCCTGTTCCCTAAAGCCTGAACCCTCGACTCCTCCTGTTGGTCCATCATCACCTGCCTCGGCCTGTAAGGCATTCCGACTGGATGCAGAAGGAAAAGGGTGGCAATCACAAAAAAGACTCCTGTTGCATGTTGCAGGACCGGCCTCTAATCGTTCAGTTGGCCTCGAACAACCCAAAAGAGCTGGCGGCTGCTGCGAAGATCGTGGCGCCGTTTTGCCCGCCGACCTCAAGCCTAGGGCTGGGGGCGCTTGTGCTTTTTTCGGATCTAAGATGATGCACTTTTCTTCGGGGCTTTAAAGTTTGGGGTTTGGGATTTCGGGTTCTTGGGTTTGGGGGGTGTTGGCTTTGCGATCAGCTTGGCAAGGGGTTTGATCGGAGTTCTAGGTTTTGAGCAGCGGCACGTTTTATCTGGCGAACAAAGCGACGTTATGCGGACGATGCCTTGTGGTAAGTAATGGGGCGCCGAAGAAATTACCAAACATATTTCGGGGTTTCCTTTATACAATATACGTATAGTACAATAATATACCCCCAAACCCTATTTTAAGTATTAAGGCCCCTATATTATAGTCCCCTTATAGTATCCAGTACAGTATCCCTTATAGATGACTTTACAAAGGAACCCTATTCTAATTGTTAAGGCCCCTATGTTCGTCCCTTGCAGGGTTTACTTGGAGGGTCGGGGGACTTAGTAATTGGTTATTTTAGGGACTTATAAATGCCATAACCCCAATTAGGGTCCCCTTTAGGGTACTTATAAGTACCTACTACCTACTTACAAGTCCCCCGACCCTCCAAGTTGGGCTTTAAAGGGCCTCCAACAGCCCAGCCTGAGGCGACGGAGTTTGCCTGAACCTGGGCTGTCCGCAGTGGTTCGCAGAGCGCGCCTCGCCGCCAAGGGGAAGTTGAAAACTGTACGAAGCGTGTGATGTCTACCAAATAGTAATAATAAGAATAATAAGATAGGTAAGAGAAGCAAATAACAACGATAAGAAACCGAGTCCTTCTGCAAGGCGTTTGGAAAAGAGACGATACTGCAAGTTGGGTTTCTCACTGGTCAGGAATCAGAAGCCGACCGCCCAGGCTGCCAACTGGGTGCGTTCCTGTTGGAGAAGGCCGCATCTGAAGGGGAGGGTGAAAACGAGGATGGGGTATGACACACACACACACACACACATATATATATATATATGTATAATATATATATATATATATATATATATATGTGTGTGTGTGAGATGTAAAGATCTGGTATATATACATGCTAATATATGCTATGTATACATGATATGTACATATACTCTAATCGCTGCTATATTATTGTATTGTATTATATCATACTGTCTTATCTCGTCAATTTCTAATAAGGAACCCGAAGGAAGAAGGTTGCTAATTCTTGTTCAGGCCCCTTAATCGTTGCTCGGCTCTCGGGTACAGAAGACATGCATGCTGAAGCACAAACTGGTGGGTCCCTAATCAAACCCATAGAGCCGATCTTTCTAGGGTTCCTTAAGAATGAATTCCTGGCATAAGTTTGAACAAGAAGGTTACTTGGTCCAGGAGACACGTGTTAGTTTCTGTTTGTTCACGGATTCACGGCTTTGGGGTTTAGGGCGTCATTGGGGTGTAGGGTTAGATGTGCTTGAACATCGGACCCTAGCGATAAACGACTTTGAGAGCTGCTGAAACCGTGTCTTAGTGAACTAAAGAGGGTTTCCAACAGCCGAAGCCCTACGGTTGATGGCTTCTGGTTCACACCTTAAACCTCCAAAGCTAATTCCCGACAGGCTCAGAAAGCCCCTATCCCCAAACCCGAAAGCCTAAAATCCCATATCCGAGAAGTCTTAACTTAACTCCGAACCCCCCCTTCAAACAAAAGCAAGAGCTTCAAGCCTCGACCCTGCCTCACAGCCCGCCCTTTGCGCTGATCTCATCGCTGCCCTCGCCGGGGCTCTCGGAGGAGCAAAGCCGCTGGGCTTCCCCACATTTGGCTTGAGGGTTTCGGGTTTGAGGTGCATTACATAGGCGTTCAGGGTTTACAGGCTTTAGTCTAGGGTTTAGGGTTTCAAAAGGTTTGCGCAGGAGTTCAGAAAGGGTTAGGGCTGAGTGAGTCTAAAAGCTTAGAGGGTGAAAGACCTTATATAGGCAGTTCCCAGAAGTAGTGTCCACCCCAAGAGGACCCCAAACCCCTAGACCCCTAAACCCTAAACGCTGTTGAGAGAACTACCTACCTATGTCTGTATATATACATATATATATATATATACATATATATATATATATATATATATATATATATTTACATACATACAAGCCAGGCTTCCGGCTCTCAAATCATAACTTTCGGAGAGGACAGGATTCAGCATGTCTCTAAACTGCGCACAAATCGGCACGTATGCTGTGTTGCAGCTTTGGCATGCGAGAGCCTAGTATGAAACTCCGAGCCCTGAGCCGCCGAGCCCTTCTGCTAGGCCCTTTCTAATATAGGGGCCTAAATAATTACCTATGCTGCTTTTTTGGGGGCCTCCCTTATTTTCATTGCGCTCGCGAAGTCGGTTTTGTAACTGCGCATCAGCCGATAAGCCGATAAGCCTATAAGCCGAGCACCCAGTCTTGACCTGGAGTGCAAGCCTTCCAGGTGATCAGCCGATCGGCTTATCGGCTGATCGGCTTATCGGCTGATCGTGATGACATCCATGGTCTATTGGGAAAAGAGCTCCCATGTCCAACGTCTGATGACGTCCATGGTCTACTGCGATTCAGGAACAGAGCATCCATGCCCAAAACCTAATGACGTCCGTGGTCTACTGCGATGTGGGAACAGAGCATCCATGCCCAAAACCTAATGACGTCCGTGGTCTACTGCGATTTGGGAACAGAGCTCCCATGTCCAATCGGCTTATCGGCTGATTGGCTGATCGGCTTATCGGGTGATCGGCGTAGCACGGTTTGGCGCCCAGATCCCACGCACACTGCTTTTTTTATAGTATTATAGTACAATATCCCCGAGTATAGTACCTATCTTCGTCGGAGTATTGCATTGCTGTCGTGGTTTTAGTTTCCTGAGAATCCTGGTGGTCGGAAGAGCTGGTTGCTGATTTGGTTGCCCATCGCGATTTTTACCCTAAACCCCTAACCCCTAAACCCCTAACCCCTAAACCCCTAAACCCTAAACCCCTAAACCCTAAACCCTGCTGGGGAGATCCGAGGAAAGCCGTTTGCTGCAAGTGGCTCGGCCAGAATGGCTAAGGCTCCAAGACATGTTTGGGAGTTTTCGAAAATAGGGGGTGCCTTATTTTGGGGGTCCTTGTAATAAGGATCCTACTATTTAGGGTACTATATTAGGGTCCCCTATTTTTGGAAACTCCCATTTTGGGCCTTCAATAACTAATTTGAATGGGGGTTCATTTGAAGGGGTCTATATACGGGCTACCATAAAGGCGATTATAAGGATTCAGTGTAGGGGCCTAAATAAGTACTACTATTTTGAGGGCTCCTTGTTATAACTATAGTATAATGGGCCTCAGAGCTCTGTTCTAATCATAAAGCGCCCTATATATCATAGTACCCTATTCTAAGTATTACGACGGGTTGCAAATGCTGCATGTGCATTTGAAGCTTCGCTAAAAACGGTCGCAAGCTGGAAAGCAGCTCAATCGTTGAGGGTTTGGGGGTTTTGGGGTTCAGGGTTTGGGGTTTGGGTTTAAGGTTCAGGGTTTAGGGTTCAGGGTATAGGGGTTTAGGGTTTAGTTTGCGGTTCAGGGTTACTGGAGCTGAGGATTCTTTTGCTGGACGGGGAGACCGCGCAAGAGCGGCAGGCGTGGCATGCCCGGGAAAAGCTCTGAGGAACAGCACGGAATTCGTGGGGGCAGCTAACAATCGCAGACACTGCCGCAACCAACTCTTGAACTTCTTGAACCTATCGGCTTAGTCTCAAAATCAGAAGGTGCAGCGAGGTTGGAAGCCAAGACTAGAATGACTAGAATACTTAAGGCAAGAACAACGACCACGATTGCGATATGCGACGGGGAAAGGCGCAATGACCATGACGACGAAGGTCCAAGCAGAAAGTGAGGCAACTAGGGCAAAGCACCTCATGGTGTAGCATCCTTTGTATATACACGCATATTTAACTTACACACATACATACATATTTACATACTAATTTATATATATATATATATATATATATACACATATACATACACATATATGTATATATTATGTGTGTATATATATATATATATACATACAGACACACACACACACACACACGCACATCTTGTGCAACTGGCCAATTTCAGGTGAGGACTGTGACCCTCGCGCAGCAGCTGGCTGCTGCAGGCACGCCCAGTCAGCAGATTGCTATCAACGGGACGTCCATGAATTTGGCTTCGTGTTCTTGAAAAGCTGCCTTTTTTGACTTGCTGAGCCAGCCTTCCGGCTGTGTCTTTGCCACTTCAGTTTGGGGAAATACCCCATGCATTCGCTCAAAACCGTTTCAGCTGTGTAAGGATGCACCCTCCTGGCCATTCACGGCCGCACGCGGGCGCAAAAAAACGATGGGCCCGTGGACTACGTGGCCATCCGTGAGGCAACCCGGAACTGGAATGCGGTTACATACGGTTAAATGTCATTGCAGTTATTGCTATCTCTGCACTGAAGCTCACTTTATTGGCACAAACATGAGCACCATACTCTTTATGGCACGCCGCGGTGCTAAGCGGAGCTGCTATTACTATTCATATGAAGTACCTCTTCTCTTCTCCGTATTCTTCAATCCTCCTTACATGATCATGAACTGTGGTAGGTATTTCTGCCACTGCTCTACCCTGAATCCTCCTTACATCATGAACTGTGGTAGGTATTTCTGCCACTGCTCTACCCTGAATCGCAAGGTTTACCCGTATTGCTGGAGGGAGATGCTCAAACTTTGGAGGTCAGGCTCAGGGGATGATCGATGAGCTTACAAACCGGGGAGGCAGTGCCATGTCTCTCAAGCAAGAGAACTGTATGGGCATTGTCGAGACTTGTTGTTTGACCGAGCTCTTCCACGCCAACGGAGTTTGTGCTGAAGTCAGACCTCCGCCACACCACAAGCCATCACGTTGTTGGCGAAGGTCCAAGCTGCCGTGGATATTCCTGTGCACCTTGCTCACAAGCAGAGGTTCTTAAGCACTAGGCATCTGAGTTCGTATGTAGCACTAGGCATCTGAGTTCGTATGTAGCCTTGCAAATGTTTCCTGTCCTTTCGCAGACACTCGCTGCCTACATATGTGGGTTCTCGTGCCTTGACTCCACGTCATGCACTTGGATGCCAAGGCTAGTCAATGGAGGCATCACGTGTCGATCGCACGCAGATGCAGCGCGCATCTCAGAGGTGCACGCTTGAGCACTCGCCTATATTCAGGACTTGTTGCTGACTGCAGCGTTCTGAACCTAGGTGCTGCAGCAAACCGGATGTGCCGCAGCAATGACACTCAGCTTGTACTGTGTAGTCACATCTGTGTCGAAACCGTATCAAGATCATACAACCCACGACCGTTGTCGTTTCAATTAAGATTCGCCATCAGTTTGTCTCCGGACTCAGTGCGCACATCCCTATGAGCTGACACCTGCATTGCAAGACTGAGCCGCAGGGAAAGTGTGCTCATGTCGACAATTTTTCTTTACAGCAGTTCCCAAACTCAGTAGAGCAAAGCTTGCCGTCACAAATCCATCAGTCTTCTTAGTTTTGTCTTGAGGCAAAAGTTGTGCGGTTTTGATGCTTCGGGGCCACAAGTGCCAGGTTTGGCCGAGAGTATATGTAGGGTGTACATGGTATGCAGTGTGCACTGCTTGGATGCGGCACCCCTTCGGATAATCAGCTTTTTCGGTCAGCAGACTGTCGCCCAGAATCACAGTCATACTCACTATAGGTACACTCCGTGGAATTGAAACCAGGGCTTTTGAATGCAAACGAGGTCCACAGTCTAAATAGGTTCCCGTTGCCGTTGTATCGCGTGAGTCGTATTTCAAGACTGTTTGATTTTGGAGGCGCTAGCCGAAAGTCCCAAATGCTCCTCAAAATCTGAAAGCATCCTGAGAGTGCTCTTGCTTGCCTGAGGATTGCCACTGCATTTCTGGCAGATCCGAGCCTCCTGCGCACGGATGTCACGCAAGGCACCGAGGGGTGCCTTGAACTAGAAGTTTATATAGGGGCCGACAAATCATTACTAAGACTATTTTTTGGGGGGGGTCCTTGTTACAAGTATAGTATACAAGTATAGTATAATGGGTCCCAAAACCCTGTTCTAAGCTTTAAGGCCCCCTATAGATTATCGTACCCTTATAGTATCCCTTATAGCATCCCTTGTAGACCCCTTCTAATGTTAAGGCCCCTATACAAAGTGCATTTCCCAAGCGGTCAGAGCAGGGAGCTCCCCCGCGGCCGGCGCCTGCGAGCACGCCCGCCGCCACCTGGAGGTGAATCTTAGGGACCTCAAAAGCCCTTGTTGGGCTTCAAAAATAAGGGGGTTTTATATGGGATATCCCTATCCTAATATTTGCTTACGTGCTTTTTGGGGGCCCTAGACTCTACACTCCGACTCCAACTCCCGGATGCTTTGAAGAGGTTCAGTGGTGTCAAAGTTCCGCTTTCCACAGGAACTCCGAGACGTTTTGGTAGTCGCGACTCTAACGCGGAAGAGCCGCCTTGCCCTGCACATGGTGCTCTTTTGGCGATCTGGAGTGGTGTTTTGCAGGATGTTGGCTGTTCGACTGCTTTGTTGTGTTTGACCGTGCCTAAGGCTACTTGGATCTTTGCTGCGAAGTGGATGGTCCGCTGCTTAAGATGGTAGGCGCGTCCACGTTCAACGTCACGCCACCGCTTGATAGTAATTATAGCCCTAAACTCGGGCGCTCGGGAGGGAAACGGATGAGCACCTTCCCAGTCTCTTTTACCGATCGCCCCAGATACTGTGCATGGCAGTAGTATGGTAATAGCATGCCCAGTAGTGCTTGCGTCAGCAGAGCACAATAATATTTCAATACACGCCTAAACTTTAGTTGTACCAAAAGTTCTAAAGCCCCTAGAAAGCCTTGACGAACACCCTCATCAAACGCTGTTCTACTTACAGTAGTACGGCCGCTAAAGTACCTGCATGTTCTGTTCCGATCTACAGAATTACCAGTACTGTAACCAGTGCTTGTCTTCTGGCTCGCACTACATGTAAGGTAACTTGGGGACTTTGGCTGTAGACTCGGGTATGGGGGTGTATATGGCGCCATTACGAAAGCTCCTCGCACTGTATGTTATCCGCTTACATGGCTCCTTTCTTTTGACCCCACTCTCCAGAAGAAGAAGAAGAGTCTTGCACAGGTCATCCGCCCGAAAGCAATCCACACTAGGGTATTTGTGACTTCCTGGACTCCACGTACTCCGTTTACATTCCATGCTGGACACGGCAACACTCTTTCCCCGGGCAAGACTCTTATTCTATCAGCACTGTAAGGCTGCTATCGCAAAGTGGACACTCACAGTGCAAATACAAGCTTCTACTGTAGGAAAAGGCATGGACATGAGGTGCAAGGTTACGATGTTCTGGAATGCCCCTTCGCCATAGGGCAAAAGCATGCAGGGCTTTTGAAGCTTCGTGGATATCTTGCGGCTCTATCTCTCGGAGAAACCAAAGGAAGTTGGACATGTAGTCTTCAATCGCATCGTCCTGAGGCCCGGATCAGCCATGGGCGCAGCTCCCGCTTCATCTCGGACATTTACTGAAGGGGTTTCTTCGAGAGAAGGCGATCTGGGCGATCTTGCGCACTTTGTGCATTCACTGTTTTTTGGTGGCTTCATGTCCTTCCCTGCGGCAGACAGCTACACTAAGAGAGCCATTAAAGTACCCTTGTTGTAAGCCTTTTATAAACCTTATAGTACCTTTTTCGTGAGTCCAGGCTCTGGTGCTACAAGGGTTCGGTATTGAGCGTTATGGGAAAAGGCGTTGCACATCGTAGTCCCGGCACCAGTACTGGAGCCACGACCGCCGTATCATGAGCTTATGTAGTTCTGGTGGCCTTTATGATCTAAACCTTCAACCCTAAATCCAATAAGCACTAAGATCATAACCCTAAGCCGTATACCCCTACACCCCACTCGCACCCCTGAGCCCTATCAAGCCTAAGTCGCTGAACTTTCTAAACCCTGACTGCACGGATTGCTTCTCTGCTAGGAGGCCGCAGATCCTGCAAAGCGCACTGGTCGCTACGAGCCATTTGATGGCAGCAAGCAGCCCGGGACTGCGCAACCAATATAGGGGCGGCCTGAATAAATACCTCTACTATTTGGGGGGTTCCTTATTATAACTAACAATGAAAATATGATGGGCCCCAAAACCCTATTCTAATTATTAAGGCCCCTACATTACAAGATAGGTGTGTATGCAGGCATGCATGTACGTACGTACCGATGTATGTAATTATGGATGCTTGGCGTGTATGCATGTTATCCCTTCCCACTAATATTAAAGCGGGGGACACCCAATAGCAAGTCGAAAAGTGGTGTCACTATTAGGAGGTTATCTCTACTGTCACTTTGAGGGAATCTTGCTCCCCGCTGCGGCTCTTGCTCCTGCTCTTGGGTTCAGGGTTGAGGGTGTTTCTCCTACTCTTGCCACTCCTCTTGCCCCTGCCCTTGCTCCTGCTCTTGCTGGTGCGGGTGCGCTTGCTCCCGAACCTCCCGAATTCGTTTTAAAAGCCGGGGACGATTTCAGACGGATTTCCCGGAAAGTGTTTTGATTATCAGGGCGGGGGCATTTCATGAATGGGGGGAAGCCATCATGCATGCATATTATAGACATGCACATATATGTATACCCAGGTATATATATATATATATATATATGTATGTATGTATATATATATATATGTACATGTACATGTACATGTACATGTATATGTATATGTATATGTATATGTATATGTATATGTACATGTACATGTACATGTACATGTATATGTATATGTATATGTATACGTATATGTATATGTATATGAATATGCATATGTATATGTATATGTATATGTATATGTATACGTATACGTATACGGATATGCATATGTATATGTATATGTATATGTATATGTATATGTATATGTATATGTATATGTATATGTATATGTATATGTATATGTATATGTATATGTATATATATATATATATATACATATTTGTGAATGTACACTCTTTATACATGGGCACGGATGAGCCTTTAGAGGGTAGAAAACCCCCTGTGCCCAGGTTCCTCAAGCGGCTCTCGAAGGCTCCACGGGGGAGCAGCTAGGACGTAAGGTTCGCTAAGGGGTGTACGGATAGGTTTGGGGATTAGGGTTTAGGGTTGAGGGTGTAGGGATTAAGGTTTAGGGTTTAATGAGGAGTGAGGGGTTATGGTTGAGGGATTAGGGTTCCGGGATTAGGGTTAAGGGTTCTAGGGATTGGCTTGGGGATACAGGGTTTCAAGGAGGGCCAAGTGAGGTTTGAAGTATCCTAAGTAAGTCGTCCATGGCGCAGGCCGGAGGCTTAGTAGCGCCCCCTAGTGTTTCGTTTCCGAGTTCCGACGACCCCTTGTCTTCCGGGTGTAGGTGCTTAACTTATGCCTGGTGCAGTCGCCATGTGCACTGTAGCCCCGACTGCAGAACACCTGCAACTCCACAGGAACAATTCCGGAAGTTTCCTTGGCCGAATACCCAGACCCCCCCCCTGAAGCACAAACCTTCAACCCCCGAACCCGGAAGCCCCAAAACCCCAAGGCCGGAGAGAATGCTGCAGAGATGAGTCTCAGCTCCAGAGCGCTTGCTGAAATCCTCAAGTCTGGAGTAGGAAAGACCAGCTCCAAAGCTGAAAGCCCTATGCAGGCTTTCTCTAAGCCTTGAGTGCAAAGCCAAAGCAATCAGGCCCTAAAGCCCTAAGCCCTAAAAACGTAAATCCCAAGCCCCTAAACCACTAAACCGTAAACCCCAACCGCTAAGCCTCGTCTCAGGGAGATCCTCCCGATGGCTTCACTCCCTGCCGACTAGAGGAGGCCACGCTGCTGCTGCGGAATTTCGTGCCCCGGAGAGGTTTAAGAAATGTCAGGGTTTAGGGTTTAGGGGGGTACCTGTGTCTGAAGGCGGCTCCTCTGTAAGCGGTGAGAGGTTGCTCCAGCTAGGGTCGTCGTACGAGTTTATGTGGTGCAGTGGGATTGAATGAGGCATCATCAGGTTCGTTCGGAAGCCAGCACGAGCAGAGCTTGCGGAGAGCAAGTCGCAATGGGCTACACGCGCCCGATGTAAGCTGAAAGCATGGATACTGTCCTAGAGTTCGCACACCTTGAACCCATGCATGGAGCTTGCCGTGCGACGGTTGTACTGGCTGAAAGCATGAATCTCGACAGCCGAAAAGCCTTATAAACCCGAACGCAGTAAGATGCCGACGGACGTTAACGCATGTAAACCCCAACTCCAAAACACCTGACACTCCAAAGCTTTCCCACAAAACAACGCCAACAACTCTCGAAGCCCCTCAAGCCTTAAACCCTAAACCCCATTGCACTTTAAAAGAAAACCCAAAAACCCTGAAGACCTAAACCCAAAACCCCAAGAAACACTAAACCCAAAAACCATAAGCCCTAAAGCCTAAAAGCACAAAACCCTAAACCGACCCTACAGTAAAGCCTAAACCCTAAGTCCTCAAGGGGACCTTTACTCCCAGGAGATCTTCCTTGGCTTGCGCCAGGGCAAAGAAAGGTCCCTTGGCCTGGAGACGACAACTTGAGTGTGTGAGCACTACTATCGGGGCCTTCATAATTTCCCCCACTATTTTAGGGGTTCCTTATTATAATATATTTAAAAAAAAGTCTAATGGGCCCCAAAAGCCTGTTCTAATCATTAAGGCCCCTAGAGCAGCAGGGCGGCCCAGTAGGGGTTTGTAAGGATGTGGGCTTGAGGGGTGAGGGCTTTAGGTGTGCATCAAGGTTCTTTTTATTTATGAGCTTGGAATTAATGGCTTTAGGTTGTGGGCTGTAGCGGGTAGGTTCTGGGATTTCGGGAATTCTCCATGTATCGAAGCCTAGACAACCGCTTGCGGACACTGTAGAGTATCCCGTGAGTGCCGAGGTCGTTTAAGCAGATCTGGCGTGAAGCCGCCAAGATGCGTGCGGCATCAAAAAAAGACGGCGAAAAAGCGTGCTGGACAAGTGCGTGTTGAAATGGCTGCGTGGGAGCATGCCACAGTCTAACTTGTGTGGCCTTGCGATGCCTTGCGTGCAGGTGGCTTTGGAAGGTGCTCGCCTGGCCATCCGTGCCCGTGATGTCGGTGAAATGCTCGACCCTCAGAAAAGCAGTTGGCGACAGCAGGAATTAATGACCACACAGGCTTCCGAATCAGAAGACCAAGTCTTCGCAGTCGAAGCAGTCGTCGTCATAGTCGTAGTCGCAGTGTTAGTCGTAGCCACAACAGCAGCCGCAAGTAGCATTTCAAGAGCAGGAGCGCTCCCTCTAAGAGCAACACCTCTTGATCAAAGATGGGCTGTTCCGTTTTGCGTCACATGGGCAACGATCGCCCCTGGTGTGATCATTGGCTGTCCGTTCGCGCTCGCATGTCCATGGCTCGAAGTGGAAGGCAGCACTGCCAAATTGCCGTTAGGATCTCGTTCCTCAGACGCTTAGACATGGCCCGGCAGTTGCTTCTGTCGATGCTGGCGGTGACCTTGCCGGCTGAAGCATCTGAGGCACCCGAGACCTGTGCGACAGCTTGGGTCCAATGCGGCGGCACCGGATGGACGGGCCCGACGTGCTGCGACTCTGGCTTCAGCTGTTCCCAGATGAACTCCTGGTATTCCCATTGTGTGCCGAAGGAGTCCATTCCAGAACAGACACAACCTGTTTCTCTAGCCGCTTCCGAGATGGTTGACGATGAGTGCTATCACATGTTCAGCGAGCTCAGCTTCAATACCCTGGTCCAGTCTTTTCCGCATAACCCTGACAGTGAAGCTAAAGCTTACGTCGACTGCAAGCTCTGCAGCCGTAGTGGCATGCAGTGCACGGCCAATGTCTTCGGTGGTCGCACTCAGCTCGTTGCATCGCACATTCACCTGGCCTCCGACGGAGATGGTGAGAATGGTTCAGGCCCTCCAGTGATCAACTTCTGCGGGGACAACGGTCCTGGAATGATTGCTGATGGCAGCCACTACAAGACACTAGGTCTTCGAGTAGTACACTTTTGCATTTTTCATGTTGGGGTCTAGGTATAAAATCGACGAGTAGTAGGAGCAAGGGTAAGTCTGCGCACCCATGCTGGTGTCAACCAAAATTTCTCAGGTCCCCTTGTGCTCACTATAAGAACCGTGCTGCCGTGATGTCCATGACGGGCAACTTCGTGGACGCGCAGAATGCTGGCTTCACGTTGGGATCCCGGTTGAAAGACATTGCTTCCAATCCTTCGAAGTATTATTTCAACTTCCATTCCATTGCTAGCTGGACGCACTGGCAGTTCGAGGGCAAGGGTCCGGTGGGAATGTGCCGCGGCGTGATGCAGATGAGTCAGAGGAGGTTGGGCTCTGTGCTCGTTTAGTTCGTGCAGGTGCTGGCAGCAGTTTCAGTTTCGTGAATAGTGGGCACTCTGTACAGCGGGCCCAGACCCCCTGCGAAGACAGGACATCGCTTGTACAGTCGATTCCCTCGTTCGATGTGATGGTAAAGATTCACTCGAAGGGGGATCGGAGCACCGGAAGGCGCACAGCTCCTGATGAACAGGCTTATGAGAGGACATGTGAGAGATGGGGGTCAGGGAGTCTTGCAAGTTTCCACTGTTCTGTGCTTTCTGGATTCGGATCGGCAACGATCGCCCTTGGTGTAATCATTGGCTGTCTGTTCCCGCTCGCATGTCGATGGCTCGAAGTGGAAGGCCGCACTGCCAAATTGCCGTTAGGATCTCGTTCCTCAGACGCTCAGTCATGGCCCGGCTGTTGCTTCTGTCGATGCTGGCGGTGACCTTGCCGGCTGAAGCGTCTGAGGCACCCGAGACCTCCAATGCGGTGGCACCGGATGGACGGGCCCGACGTGCTGCGACTCTGGCTTCAGCTGTTCCCAGATGAACTCCTGGTATTCCCATTGTGTGCCGAAGGGGTCCATTCCAGAACAGACACAACCTGTTTCTCTAGCCGCTTCCGAGATGGTTGACGATGAGTGCTATCACATGTTCAGCGAGCTCAGCTTCAATACCCTGGTCCAGTCTTTTCCGCATAACCCTGACAGTGAAGCTAAAGCTTACGTCGACTGCAAGCTCTGCAGCCGTAGTGGCATGCAGTGCACGGCCAATGTCTTCGGTGGTCGCACTCAGCTCGTTGCATCGCACATTCACCTGGCCTCCGACGGAGATGGTGAGAATGGTTCAGGCCCTCCAGTGATCAACTTCTGCGGGGACAACGGTCCTGGAATGATTGCTGATGGCAGCCACTACAAGACACTAGGTCTTCGAGTAGTACACTTTTGCATTTTTCATGTTGGGGTCTATGATTAACATCGACGAGTAGTGGGAGCAAGGGCAAGTCTGCGCACCCATGCTGGCATCAACCAAAATTTCTCAGGTCTCCTTGTGCTCACTATAAGAACCGTGCTGCCGTGATGTCCATGACGGGCAACTTCGTTGACGCGCAGAATGCTGGCTTCACGTTGGGATCCCGGTTGAAAGACATTGCTTCCAATCCTTCGAAGAACTTCCATTCCATTGCTAGCTGGACGCACTGGCAGTTCGAGGGCAAGGGTCCGGTGGGAATGTGCCGCGGCGTGATGCAGATGAGTCAGAGGAGGTTGGGCTCTGTGCTCGTTTAGTTCGTGCAGGTGCTGGCAGCAGTTTCAGTTTCGTGAATAGTGGGCACTCTGTACAGCGGGCCAGACCCCCTGCGAAGACAGGACATCGCTTGTACAGTCGATTCCCTCGTTCGATGTGATGGTAAAGATTCACTCGAAGGAGGATCGGAGCACCGGAAGGCGCACAGCTCCTGATGAACAGGCTTATGAGAGGACATGTGAGAGATGGGGGTCAGGGAGTCTTGCAAGTTTCCACTGTTCTGTGCTCTCTGGATTCGGATCGGCAACGATCGCCCTTGGTGTAATCATTGGCTGTCTTTTCCCGCTCGCATGTCGATGGCTCGAAGTGGAAGGCCGCACTGCCAAATTGCCGTTAGGATCTCATTCCTCAGACGCTCAGACATGGCCCGACTGTTGCTTCTGTCGATGCTGGCGGTGACCTTGTCAGCTGAAGCATCTGAGGCACCCGAGACCTGTGCGACAGCTTGGGTCCAATGCGGCGGCACCGGATGGACGGGCCCGACGTGCTGCGACTCTGGCTTCAGCTGTTCCCAGATGAACTCCTGGTATTCCCATTGTGTGCCGAAGGGGTCCATTCCAGAACAGACACAACCTGTTTCTCTAGCCGCTTCCGAGATGGTTGACGATGAGTGCTATCACATGTTCAGCGAGCTCAGCTTCAATACCCTGGTCCAGTCTTTTCCGCATAACCCTGACAGTGAAGCTAAAGCTTACGTCGACTGCAAGCTCTGCAGCCGTAGTGGCATGCAGTGCACTGCCAATGTCTTCGGTGGTCGCACTCAGCTCGTTGCATCGCACATTCACCTGGCCTCCGACGGAGATGGTGAGAATGGTTCAGGCCCTCCAGTGATCAACTTCTGCGGGGACAACGGTCCTGGAATGATTGCTGATGGCAGCCACTACAAGACACTAGGTCTTCGAGTAGTACACTTTTGCATTTTTCATGTTGGGGCCTATGATTAACATCGACGAGTAGTAGGAGCAAGGGCAAGTCTGCGCACCCATGCTGGCATCAACCAAAGTTTCTCAGGTCTCCTTGTGCTCACTATAAGAACCGTGCTGCCGTGATGTCCATGACGGGCAACTTCGTTGACGGGCAGAATGCTGGCTTCACGTTGGGATCCCGGTTGAAAGACATTGCTTCCAATCCTTCGAAGTATTACTTCAACTTCCATTCCATTGCTAGCTGGACGCACTGGCAGTTCGAGGGCAAGGGTCCGGTGGGAATGTGCCGCGGCGTGATGCAGATGAGTCAGAGGAGGTTGGGCTCTGTGCTCGTTTAGTTCGTGCAGGTGCTGGCAGCAGTTTCAGTTTCGTGAATAGTGGGCACTCTGTACAGCGGGCCCAGACCCCCTGCGAAGACAGGACATCGCTTGTACAGTCGATTCCCTCGTTCGATGTGATGGTAAAGATTCACTCGAAGGGGGATCGGAGCACCGGAAGGCGCACAGCTCCTGATGAACAGGCTTATGAGAGGACATGTGAGAGATGGGGGTCAGGGAGTCTTGCAAGTTTCCACTGTTCTGTGCTTTCTGGATTCGGATCGGCAACGATCGCCCTTGGTGTAATCATTGGCTGTCTGTTCGCGCTCGCATGTCGATGGCTCGAAGTGGAAGGCCGCACTGCCAAATTGCCGTTAGGATCTCGTTCCTCAGACGCTCAGACATGGCCCGACTGTTGCTTCTGTCGATGCTGGCGGTGACCTTGTCGGCTGAAGCATCTGAAGCACCCGAGACCTGTGCGACAGCTTGGGTCCAATGCGGCGGCACCGGATGGACGGGCCCGACGTGCTGCGACTCTGGCTTCAGCTGTTCCCAGATGAACTCCTGGTATTCCCATTGTGTGCCGAAGGAGTCCATTCCAGAACAGACACAACCTGTTTCTCTAGCCGCTTCCGAGATGGTTGACGATGAGTGCTATCACATGTTCAGCGAGCTCAGCTTCAATACCCTGGTCCAGTCTTTTCCGCATAACCCTGACAGTGAAGCTAAAGCTTACGTCGACTGCAAGCTCTGCAGCCGTAGTGGCATGCAGTGCACGGCCAATGTCTTCGGTGGTCGCACTCAGCTCGTTGCATCGCACATTCACCTGGCCTCCGACGGAGATGGTGAGAATGGTTCAGGCCCTCCAGTGATCAACTTCTGCGGGGACAACGGTCCTGGAATGATTGCTGATGGCAGCCACTACAAGACACTAGGTCTTCGAGTAGTACACTTTTGCATTTTTCATGTTGGGGTCTATGATTAACATCGACGAGTAGTAGGAGCAAGGGTAAGTCTGCGCACCCATGCTGGTGTCAACCAAAGTTTCTCAGGTCTCCTTGTGCTCACTATAAGAACCGTGCTGCCGTGATGTCCATGACGGGCAACTTCGTTGACGGGCAGAATGCTGGCTTCACGTTGGGATCCCGGTTGAAAGACATGGCTTCCAATCCTTCGAAGTATTACTTCAACTTCCATTCCATTGCTAGCTGGACGCACTGGCAGTTCGAGGGCAAGGGTCCGGTGGGAATGTGCCGCGGCGTGATGCAGATGAGTCAGAGGAGGTTGGGCTCTGTGCTCGTTTAGTTCGTGCAGGTGCTGGCAGCAGTTTCAGTTTCGTGAATAGTGGGCACTCTGTACAGCGGGCCCAGACCCCCTGCGAAGACAGGACATCGCTTGTACAGTCGATTCCCTCGTTCGATGTGATGGTAAAGATTCACTCGAAGGGGGATCGGAGCACCGGAAGGCGCACAGCTCCTGATGAACAGGCTTATGAGAGGACATGTGAGAGATGGGGGTCAGGGAGTCTTGCAAGTTTCCACTGTTCTGTGCTCTCTGGATTCGGATCGGCAACGATCGCCCTTGGTGTAATCATTGGCTGTCTTTTCCCGCTCGCATGTCGATGGCTCGAAGTGGAAGGCCGCACTGCCAAATTGCCGTTAGGATCTCGTTCCTCAGACGCTCAGACATGGCCCGATTGTTGCTTCTGTCGATGCTGGCGGTGACCTTGCCGGCTGAAGCATCTGAGGCACCCGAGACCTGTGCGACAGCTTGGGTCCAATGCGGCGGCACCGGATGGACGGGCCCGACGTGCTGCGACTCTGGCTTCAGCTGTTCCCAGATGAACTCCTGGTATTCCCATTGTGTGCCGAAGGAGTCCATTCCAGAACAGACACAACCTGTTTCTCTAGCCGCTTCCGAGATGGTTGACGATGAGTGCTATCACATGTTCAGCGAGCTCAGCTTCAATACCCTGGTCCAGTCTTTTCCGCATAACCCTGACAGTGAAGCTAAAGCTTATGTCGACTGCAAGCTCTGCAGCCGTAGTGGCATGCAGTGCACGGCCAATGTCTTCGGTGGTCGCACTCAGCTCGTTGCATCGCACATTCACCTGGCCTCCGACGGAGATGGTGAGAATGGTTCAGGCCCTCCAGTGATCAACTTCTGCGGGGACAACGGTCCTGGAATGATTGCTGATGGCAGCCACTACAAGACACTAGGTCTTCGAGTAGTACACTTTTGGATTTGTCATGTTGGAGTCTATGATTAAAATCGACGAGTAGTAGGAGCAAGGGTAAGTCAGCGCACCCATGCTGGCGTCAACCAAAATTTCTCAGGTCTCCTTGTGCTCACTATAAGAACCGTGCTGCCGTGATGTCCATGACGGGCAACTTCGTTGACGGGCAGAATGCTGGCTTCACGTTGGGATCCCGGTTGAAAGACATTGCTGCCAATCCTTCGAAGTATTATTTCAACTTCCATTCCATTGCCAGCTGGACGCACTGGCAGTTCGAGGGCAAGGGTCCGGTGGGAATGTGCCGCGGCGTGATGCAGATGAGTCAGAGGAGGTTGGGCTCTGTGCTCGTTTAGTTCGTGCAGGTGCTGGCAGCAGTTTCAGTTTCGTGAATAGTGGGCATTCTGTACAGCGCGCCCAGACCCCCTGCGAAGACAGGACATCGCTTGTACAGTCGATTCCCTCGTTCGATGTGATGGTAAAGATTCGCTCGAAGGGGGATCGGAGCACCGGAAGGTGTATTAGAAGAGCACGTGATCAACAGGCTTACGAAGCGAAATGTGAAAGACGGGGGTCAGGGAGTCTTGCACCGTTTACTTGTAGTCGTGGCAGTCTATTGTCTGTGATTGGTCATCACGATCGTCCTCATCACCATCACTGCCACTGTAGTGTTCAGAGATGCGGCTTCCTGTGTTCGAGAACCTTTTTGCAGGAAAGTCTGAACTCACAGCTGCTGCAGGGTTTTGCTTTCTGATTTTGCTGCGGCGAGTGGCCATGCGGTTCCTCATGTGCATGTAGGTATCCGGGTCAGGATTAGTAACCAGGCGCTTGCTACACATTTGGGATTCATCTTCTTATATAAGCCCCGAAGCTTGGGCAGCAGCTGAGCATGTTTCGCCTTCACCCTATAAACCCTAAACCCTACTTGGAGGGTCGGGGGACTTAGTAAGTAGGTCGTAAGTAGACTTATAAGTACCCCATTAGGGACCCTAATTGGGGTTATGGTACTTACAAGTCCCTAAAATAACCAGTTACTAAGCACCCCGACCCTCCAAGTATAGACCCTAAACCCCAAACCCTACAAAGACCGAGGCATCGGAGCCTAGCGGCGCTGCTCGGCCCCACGGCACCCTGCGCAGCTCGTGCATGGGAGCCCAGACAGAAGCGGCCGATGTTGGTCCGAATTGTGCCAACATCTACAACTTTTGGTTGTTGGTGTGCTTACTGTTAACAATTACTGCTGTTGTTATTATCATTGTTACTACCGATGTTGGTGTTGTGGATGCAGATGTTGATTGTGATGGGTGATGGATCGCGCCGTCAGCTGTTGTTGCTTTGTTATTGCTGCTATGGTGACGATGAGCGTCAATGTTTGCTTTGTTAAAGTGTTGTCCTTGTTGCTGATTCTGTTTCGAGTGTGATGTGAGTCTTTCGCAGGTTTTTTCGTTTTGTTCTGTTGCTTTTCTTGCAGTTGCTGCCGTCGTTGCGGGTAAGCGGGAGGAGAACGAGCCGGCAACATTCTTGTCACATGCAGCACAGTTGCGTTGAAGATGCGGTTGTCTACAGCGCGCAACAGCCCCACAGTGAACCAGTACCTTAAACCCTGAACCCCAATCGGCTCCAATTTTCAAACGCTAGGTTGCATCATCAGTTGAGATGTAAGCTGACACCACAAGAAGAATAAGATATCAAAAGCTTGTTTGTAGCGTCCTCAGAACCAATGTCAGTTCATGATTTATCGTTTAGGGCATGATGATGCAGGGTTCTCAGGGTTCTCCGCAAGGTGTAGAGAAACCACGACGCACCCCTAAACCCTAAACCCTATACCCTACACTGTATACCCTAAAACTTAGACCCTAAACCCTAGACCTTAAACTGAACCCAAGCCAGCTTCCATCTTTGCCATGGCCCTTTGCTAGGTTCGGGCATGGTCCGCGCAGAGGAGGGACGAAGTGGCCGGATTCCGTTATCCCAGCTTGCTTAAGACCCAGGGAGCAGGCAGTAAAAGTCGCGCTCCATTCTTCCATGTTGTATAGTAAAGTTAAATTTTCGTATAAAATATTATAGAATTCTTCAGCCCTGAACCATCGCTTTTCGGGACTTTATGTGTCTGTTGGTTTGAGGGGGCCACGACGTCATCTCTTGATTAATTTTGAGCCTTGCCTCTCGGTACGACGGTTCGGTCTTTGCGTCTGCCTAGCACTATGGAGCCTCATCTACAGCCTGTATTTGCTTGCATCGCTCATAAGAATCAACGCTTCTCCGGTTATCATGACTGTTTTTTGTTGATGAATGTGTCGCTGGTTCGTTACGTTTACACAGTTTTTCACTGGCGATGATGATGAAGATGGTGATGCCCATCATCTTCCTGTTATTCAGGGCTTGCAATCGAGCTGTGCATGACATGTCCCATTTGCCAGTCATTCAACGGGCAAGCTGCTGAGAGACCTCGACAGATGCGGTTCCTGTAGAAGAAAAGTGCAGCTGTTGCGACCAATACAGACACCCCGACGACTTTCAGCACTACTCACTGCTCTAGGGGCCGAGGTAATGACCAATTGTCTCCTTTCAGGTTCGTTAAAAGAATCCCCCCAAGCACGGTTTAGGGTTTAGGATTCTATTTGTGCAGCCCCTGCCATGCAGCCAGGGCTGATTTACCTTACGCACGGCGGTCTCCTCGGAGAGCCGGGCCGGCTGTCCCCAGAGCTCGCGCAATTCCTGCAGGCATTGATTATTGCCATGGTCTAACAGCAAAGCCAGTCCCGACAAAAATGGCTTGAATGATAATTAGAAATACAATTCCTTAGGGTTCCTGACTATAAACATAATACACAAACCCGAGATCCTATTCCAATATTAGTGCTTGCATAGAAAATCCAAACTCAGGGACTCGCATCCGTGAGTCGGAACTTTTCGAAGAGAATAAAACTCGGTCTTAAGTTACCACTCGGAATCTGATTAGAGTAGATATTGTAGAGAAGTCATCGCAGGCTGTTTGTCCATGTTATTGAAGCGAAGACTGCGCGCACTTATCTGTCGAGTGATTCATGTTGTTTTGTTCTGTCGGGTGTTTTTGTTGCAGTTGCACTAGTCCGCTAGTCAGTGGGCTCTCTGTCAGGTCGTATGGTCATGACTCTTTCGTCGTCGTCGTAGCAGTAGCAGTAGCAGTAGCAGTAGGGTAGCAGTAGCAGTAGCAGTAGCAGTAGCAGTAGCAGTAGCAGTAGCAGTAGTAGTAGTAGTAGTAGTAGTAGTAGTAGCAGTAGTAGTAGCAGTAGCAGTAGCAGTAGTAGAAGTAGTAGCAGTAGTAGCAGTAGTAGTAGTAGTAGCAGCACCAGCAGTAGTAGTGGTAGTGGTAGTCGTAGTGGTGGTCGTAGCAGCACCAGCAGTAGTAGTGGTAGTGGTAGTCGTAGTGGTGGTCGTAGTGGTAGTCGTGGTAGTCGTGGTAATCGTGGTGGTAGTGGTAGTGGTAGTGGTAGTGGCAGTGGCAGTGGCAGTGGCAGTGGCAGTGGCAGCGGCAGTGGTAGTGGTAGTGGTAGTGGTAGCAGTAGTAGTACTACCAGTAACTAGTAGTAGTAGTAGTAGTAGTAGTAGTAGTAGTAGTAGCAGTAGTAGCAGTAGTAGCAGTAGTAGCAGTAGTAGCAGTAGTAGTAGTAGTAGTAGTGGTAGTAGTAGTGGTAGTAGTGGTAGTAGTAGTAGTAGTAGCAGAAGGAGTAGTAGTAGTATTGATGGTAGGTTCTTCTTGGGGTTTTGTGTTTGAGTGTTTGGGGTGTGGGGTTTAAGGTTCAGCATCTTGGGTACAACCTTCTGGACACCGTTTTTATCCACTGATAGCCGGCAAGTGGAAAAGACCAGTCCCCAGCTCAAAAAAACGTTTCAAGACTGTGGTTCCCTTTCACAAGAAGGCTTTGTCAACCGAAAGCCATTCCATACGCAGCACCGTTTCATTGCTGAGCCAAGCTTCCAAAGCAGACACCCTAAACCCAAAAGACCTGAGAACAGTGATTCCATGATCGCTCCGCGAAACAGGAGCACCTTGGCCAGCGCAAAGACCGCAAGGGGGGTGCAGGCCGGGAGAATGTAGTTGTGTCAGAAAAACCAGGACCCTAACATAGACCCTCAGTGTAGAGGCCCTGACACAAGGTACAGCATTCGTAAGAAGCTCCGATGTATAAGTAGGAGTTGGAAGCTTTACGGGTGCTTAGGAATGCACTGGGGAAACGTACAGCGATGATGCACGGGGCCAGCCACATGAAGCGCAACTCAACGAACCCGAAGTACGCTTCCGGTACATCCTCGTGCTGTTGTGTGGCCGTTCTTAAGCAACGGAGGACAAAAGGGTCTTCGGCATTCGGGCTGATGGTGCCTTCCAAGAGTGCCGCACTCGCCACTGGCCTGTTCTTAAGTTTCCTGCTCCCATGTAGACTGGGCAGTCGCAGCAGGTGGCACCAATGTAGAGTCTGAAAACTGTATCATAGTAGCCTTTTACAGTCACTACATTCGCAATTCCTACACTACAAACAGACCACAAGACTTAGTACGGCCTCTAAACTACAAGATCAACATATACGCAACAGAATGAGAAAACCCTGTTTTGATTATTGGGGCCCCTGCACGACTGCCCTAAGCCCTAAACCCTATTTTGACTAGTAGGGTCGCCTACACGACTGTCGGTGACTCTACAAGACTTCTGGCTGCGTGCACGACAGGGCCCTGCCTACGCTATGCCGTGCAGCTCCACCGTGCGAGAGCATCCGGAAACTGGTGCAGGCGGGAGAAATTTGGGTCCAGGGCTCAGGGCTTACAAGGTGAAAATGGAGTCTGGGATTGAGGGCTTGGGGTTTAGAATATTGGGGTCAAGCCACGACAAGGCAGAATGTTGCATACCCCGCATATTCAGCAGAAAGTTATGCGGCACGAGCGATTGTGCATTGAATATTCAATGAAATCGACATGGTTTCAGCTCATAATGCAACATCGTGATTGTGCAGAGCGCGTGGTGCTTGTGTGCCCACTGACATTAAGTCAGTCCCTGTGAGAAGGATGGAAGGATGCAGGGGGGATGGGTCCAAACAGTGAGCAGTACGTTTGGAGAGCTGACTGTGCCGGGCCAGAGGGCAGTCCCCTCGAAGAAATATATGGGAGTTTCCGAAAATTAGGGTACCTTATTCGGAGGTCCTTATAATAATGATTCTACTACTTAGGGTACTATACTAGGGTTCCCTATTCTCAGAAACTCCCATATGTCGCAGCAGTTTGTTCATGAAGATGCGAACATGTGGGCGGAGCTATAGAGAGGGCCCTGATGGAGAGCACTGGAAGTTTTCCTGCTTCGTGTGCGAGCAGGCACTTGGCCCTCGCGACGGAAGGACCACCAGATCTTTGCAAGACGCGATCTTTTTGGGCTGCTGTGAACCTGGATGGAAGGCCTAGGCCCTAAACCCCTTGAAATACAGATGACGTACGGGTTGACTGAGATCGGCGCAAGCTGTAGGAACGGAGCCCTAAGTGGAAGTTTCAGACAATTAGCATACGGCATCTGGGGGTCCTTGTTTCGGGTTCTGTATTTATGAGGGTCAATGTAGGCCTTCATAGTAGGATTCTCATTGGAGCCCCAACGTGGGATCCCCTATTTGAAGAATCCCTGATTGCTTCAAGCGTGCATCACGTAGCCAGCTTTGTGTCAGCATTATTTCTATTTGATCTCCGCATATATCTGCTCCCGGATATGCAACAACAGTCATTGTAAAGCTTTCTTGCGAAGTACCCAGACAGGAATGTGCCGAGTCTCGACGGTTTTGTGACCCCACGTACTTTGGGTCCATTGTTTTTTTTTTTCCTAGGTCTGGCCTGGTCTGGGGGGCCTTGCTATGTCTGGTCCCATGGTCCCTTGGTCCCCTGGCCCTTTGGTCCTCTGGTCCTTTGGTCCTCCGGTCCCCTGGTCCCTGGTCCGCTGGTTCCCTGGTCTCTCCTGGTCCTGTACCCCTAAACCCTCAAACCGCCAACTCGTGACGAAGGCAACTACCACGACGGCAACGACGAGGACGAGGACGAGGACGACGACGACGATGACCTAGATGTCGACAACGACACCAAAAAACAACGCCAGAAGACAGAAGATTTGAAATTGGCATTTCGCACTATTCACACGCGAAACACGACCCTGCAAATTGTAGTGCTCCAATACCTTCATGCAATACACAAGCAAAACCAGACCCTGCGAATGCTAGTTCCCCATTAGCTTGATGAAAAACACAAACAATAAAAGACTCTGCAAATTGTAGTTCCCCAATAGCTTGATGCAAAACACAAACAAGGCCGACCCCGCAAATTGTAGTTCCCCCATTAGCTTGATGCAAAACACAAGCACAAGAACACACCGCAAATTGTAGTTCCCTAGTGGCTTCATGCAAAAGACAAGCAGATGAACACACCGCAAATTCTAGTTCCCTAATAGCTTCAGGCAGAACACAAGCAGAAGAAGACCCTGCGAATTGTAGTTCCCCAATAGCTTGATGCAAAACACAAGCAACACCGATCCCTGCAAATGCGAACCCCCCAATAGCTTCATGCAAAACACAAAGAAAACCGAACCCTACAGCAACAACAAGAACACCAGCAACAGGAACAACAACAACAACAAGAACAACTACCACGACGGCAAACGACGAGGACGAGGACGAGGACGAGGACGACGACGACGATGACCTAGATGTCGACAACGACACCAAAAAAACAACGCCAGAAGACAGAAGATTTGAAATTGGCATTTCGCACTATTCACACGCGAAACACGACCCTGCAAATTGTAGTGCTCCAATACCTTCATGCAATACACAAGCAAAACCAGACCCTGCGAATGCTAGTTCCCCATTAGCTTGATGAAAAACACAAACAATAAAAGACTCTGCAAATTGTAGTTCCCCAATAGCTTGATGCAAAACACAAACAAGGCCGACCCCGCAAATTGTAGTTCCCCCATTAGCTTGATGCAAAACACAAGCACAAGAACACACCGCAAATTGTAGTTCCCTAGTGGCTTCATGCAAAAGACAAGCAGATGAACACACCGCAAATTCTAGTTCCCTAATAGCTTCAAGCAGAACACAAGCAGAAGAAGACCCTGCGAATTGTAGTTCCCCAATAGCTTGATGCAAAACACAAGCAACACCGATCCCTGCAAATGCGAACCCCCCAATAGCTTCATGCAAAACACAAAGAAAACCGAACCCTACAGCAACAACAAGAACACCAGCAACAGCAACAACAACAACAAGAACAACTACCACGACGGCACGACGAGGACGAGGACGAGGACGAGGACGAGGACGAGGACGACGACGACGATGACCTAGATGTCGACAACGACACCAAAAAACAACGCCAGAAGACAGAAGATTTGAAATTGGCATTTCGCACTATTCACACGCGAAACACGACCCTGCAAATTGTAGTGCTCCAATACCTTCATGCAATACACAAGCAAAACCAGACCCTGCGAATGCTAGTTCCCCATTAGCTTGATGAAAAACACAAACAATAAAAGACTCTGCAAATTGTAGTTCCCCAATAGCTTGATGCAAAACACAAACAAGGCCGACCCCGCAAATTGTAGTTCCCCCATTAGCTTGATGCAAAACACAAGCACAAGAACACACCGCAAATTGTTGTTCCCTAGTGGCTTCATGCAAAAGACAAGCAGATGAACACACCGCAAATTCTAGTTCCCTAATAGCTTCAAGCAGAACACAAGCAGAAGAAGACCCTGCGAATTGTAGTTCCCCAATAGCTTGATGCAAAACACAAGCAACACCGATCCCTGCAAATGCGAACCCCCCAATAGCTTCATGCAAAACACAAAGAAAACCGAACCCTGCAACTTGTGGTTCCCCAACAGCTTCATGCTAAACACAAGCAAAATCAGACTCCGCAAGTTGTAGTTCCCCAATAGCTTCATGCAAAACAGAAGCAAAACCAGAGCCGTCGAATTCTAGTTCCCCAATAGCTTGATGCAGCAAAGACCGCAGTTGCCGCTGTTGGCAACCACAACCAGTGGGCCAGACTTAGGAAAGCAAGCCGGGGAGCGCCAGACCTAGGAAAAAAAAAAACCGCTCCGCCACGTAAATTGATAACCCAAAACCCAAAACCCTAAACCCTGATGTTCAACTGAGGCTTCGCAGCTCAGAACCTGTCGTCCGGTGCACCAGACACCTCCCCCCCCCCACGAGTCGCTTCGATGACTTCCGTCGCACGACCGCAGCGCCTAGAAGCCAGGACCTCAAGCGGGTAAGGGCTTCGGCGAGTCATCTCGAGATGACTGTGGCAGGCTCCGCAGCAGCAGTTGATGTGCGAATGGCGTGAATTCAGACCGGTTCTGAAGCACAGTCTTGGGTTGAGGTGATAAAATCGGGTTATAACGGGTTACAAGAATGTAGGGTCCAGGATCTGGTCCAGGACATACAAAACCCACTGGTTGGAGTATGTAACTGTGAGTCAAGTGCAGCGCATAGTTGCTGAACACAGAGAATTTCACACGGATCAGGGCTGCCTGGAGAGTCCTTTCTTTTGGGTGTTCGTCTTCAGATAACGAGGGACTCGCCGTTCTTTCAGAGGTGAGGTCTAAGCTGTGTACCCGTCGGCATGATACGTCGGATGCGACATTCGCGTTTGAGAGGCTGGCAGCGCGAAGGCTAGGGGCTCTAGGCACAACAGATTCAGCGGCCAGTTGGGCTCGAGGAATGGATGTTCTGATGTACTGCGAGATTATGAAACTGTGCTTGTTACTAACCAAGTTGTTCTGCTGCGGATCCATGGCACACGTGGCCCGCTTCTGGTACCCAGCTGGATAGGGGATAGCCATGTTTTCAGCTATAGGTCTGTGCTGAAGACATCGTATGAACTGCCATATACTTTCTCTCGAATTGTTCTTCATAGGCTCATACGGAAAGCAGGCCGGGTCACGCACAAAGAAGGTCGAGTTTTGCCAGCTTCCTTTCGCGCATTCTGTGCGTGTAATCAGTTGACATGAAGGTGGCCCCACTTTGAGCGCGCGACATTTGCGCCCGCATTCAACGTGTAGCAGAAATTCGACCACAGGAACTCGTGCTTGAAAGGCTACACTGAGCTGCATGTTCTTTTCACCCTTGATTACAACGGCATAGAGGACTATGGTTGGGGAGGTCTACAGGCTGCATGGCATCGTAATTAGAAAGGCTTGCCATTCGAGTCTGTTGTTTCGTCGGCCTCGGGGTGGCCAGTGTGGCCTTTGACCAAACAAAAAGGAGCGTGGTAGATTCCGAACGGAGCCCCCCAAGCAGAGCGAGAGAGGGGCAGACTGGCTTCTCTAACCCTGTTGCCTTGCTTCTAAAAAGTTTCGCTCATTTTCTGTCCTTGGGTAGGAAGTGGTAGGCTACGTCGACTCACTGCTTGTTGGATTCTCTGCCCTGAAAGGCTTGCCTGGACTGTCGCAGCACCAGCCCGACCCCCAGATCTTGGCGGTGCTTACGTTTGGTTAGTAGGGAATGGAAGAATGGTAGTAATAGTAGTTATAATGATACCCCATTCCTCCATTCCCTACTAACCAAAGGTAAGGGCGGTCGTTGTGGTGAGTTTCGCAGCTGTGGTGGCACTGGCGGCTGTGGCAGTTGTTTCAGTAATGGTCGTGGCTATCCTAATGACGATGGTGACGACCAAAGCGAAGCTGATGATGATGGCGTTGATCCTGTTGGTGATGTCAGTGCTAGTCATGATGATGGTTGATACTCTGGAAGGTTTTGGTCATTGCTAGTGTCTTCGAAGAGTAACCAGTAATCACCATGACTGGTTTTCGGATCAATGTCAAAATTGTTACTACGAGCGAGGCACACGTGGCCGTAGCAGAGGCAGTAGCAGTAGCAGGTCGTAGTCGCGAATCGCATCCACAGAAGTCGTAGTCAGTCCCCGTAGTGCTAAGTTGCAGTCGTAGTCGCAACGGTACAGCAGTCGCAGTTGTCGTAGCAGTAGTCATCGTCGTATCAGTGGTATCGGAAATGCTAGTGTTAGTCAAGTCGACGGCATAGCCGTCTTCGTCGTCGCGGTCGCCGTGGTGGTGAGAGTGATCGCGGTATTCCTACCACCAGTATACACATAGCTTATGCTGATGAGCACTGCTTTTCTTTGTAGCTATTATAGAGATGATGAAGTTCTGTTGCTGCTGCTGCTGCTGCTGTCGCTGCTGTGATTCGGAAGCGGCATTAGGTGCGTCTGCGCAGCCTCGAGATTTTGGCGAAAGCCTTTCCCCAAGGGGTGCTGCGCCCAGCTATCTTCGCGTGTGCTTTAGAGGTCTTAGTAGCGGTTTGTGCACTTTTACTTGTTTTCAGGGAAGCTTGCGTAAAACTGTTGGCGATCACCTCTGCTAGTAACTAGATGTAACTAGTATGTGCGACGAAAGGTACCATCATACCAATCGTTGTAATCATTGTAACCACGACTACGGCAGCTACTGCCAGTGGCAGAAGTGGTGCAGGATTCACTGGAATTCCCGTCAGGCGTCTTTCCACATTTTGGCTTTAGCCAGTCTCCATCCGATCCCAAAATCCTAAACCCGATGTAGAATGTAGAGTAATAGACCCTGAATTATGCGTCCATGCGCAAGCCCTAAGGTGGCCGCGGAGCGTGCAGCGCGCATGTTAGGACTGTCAGTTGTGTCAGGGTGGAGGTGTGTCTTTAAGCCTCAACCCCAGGATATCCCGAGCCTACACTGAAACGACCCTTCAAACTCGTAGCGACAGGAAGTTTCTAAAGCCTTATAGGCTGTCCTTGAGAAAGCCTTTCCATATCTACGCGTCCTCTAGCATCTGCTTGCAAGAGTAAGAATATATGAGCAGCAACAAGCAGTGCCAATGTTGGACAGTCACAACAGGTATTGGAGACACATGTTCTCCAACGGTATCAACCATGCTAGCAGCTAGCAGGTAAACCTGTGGTGGTGATGATCGTCGCCGCATTGTGCGAGTCGCAAACAATGACAATGCGTAACAGTTTTCTGTTGGGGATTCATGACAGGTTGAATCGGGGCGGTCACCGTTTGTGCGGATACCGATAGGCATCGACTGCAGTTCTGCTCTGTTGAAGGTACAGCAGTGGCCCAAACGACAGACAAGTTGGTAGACGGTGCTTCGAGGATCACCGCCCGGGAGAACAATTGCAGATGCATCTCCGAAACCAAACCAAACTGGACCGAAGTAAAGAAGCCGCCAGGAGCTTTCATGGCAATATAGTAGCTTCAAGCCTGACAAATGACAGTGTTATTCCTTGGGGTTTCTTGTGGCGATCATAGTATGATGCCACCCAGTATTCTACTATACTGGGTGGCCACATCTAGAATGCGGAAAAGGGGGCATGCACTTGTCGGCGGTAGTCTTGCCGTCCTCGCTCAGCTTCAGCCACATCTTACTTTCCGACTGAACCTAGTAGTAGAGTAGGTAACCTTTAACCCTTTTTTGGGTAGTATAGTTCCTATATAATCCCCATATAACCCAAAAGGTTAGCCTTTAGTTCCCCATGATACCCCCCTAAACCCCAAACTCCTAAACCCTAAACCTTTAATGCTCTTGGAGACTTTGTTACTTTGTTCCTTTTTTGGTTCCGGTCTTCTTTTATAGGGGTCTCCGAAAAAGTAGCTTTTTGCTTACCTTCCAAAGGGAGTAGAGAAACCCTCCCCAAAACCCTGAAGCCCTAACCGCCGCGAAGATCAGGACTCCAGGGCCCCGAGGATTTGGAAAGCTGGCTGAACACCGAGTGGCCGGGGGAGGTGCCTCTAAGGGAACCCTTAGCTAGGTTTAGGGTTTAGGCTTTAGGATTTATAGGGTTCAGGGTTTAGGGTACCGAATTTGGGATAATTTCGGAGTCCCCTTGTTGTTTAATATAGAGCCCTCCTTAGAAATAAGTTTGGAGACTGGTGAAATCGACACCTAGTTGACCAGTACGAGCACCCTTACCTTACAATCACCCGGCTTTTGCGTGAAAGGGTTGAGGGGCGCGGGTTTGGGATATAGGTTGCTAAAAAGGCCTGGAGAATTCGAGGTTTAGGGTTTGGGGATTTATTAAGTTTTGGGTTCGGAATTTGTCGGTGGGAAGCTTGAAATTTACAGCTCAGTGAGGTTTTGCAGGGTTGTTCAGAGGTTTCCTTTCATATTTGGGCTTCCATGAGTAGCAACGTTCTTCATACGCTCGGTGGGCTTCATATTTGGGAGGTTGGTGAGCATGTGTTTGGCATGTCTTTCTTGGGATGCTTCTGATACAAGCCCCATTTGCGTAAAGCCTTCAACCCTAATTCACAAATCCTCGACCCTACACCCCAAAATCCTGACTTGATAGTCGGGCCTGAAGTCAGGCTTATGTCTTGGGAGTTGCCCCTGGGTTCCGCCCGGTTCCTGCCGTGGCGTCGGTTCGTATAAAAGACACTGGCAGATACAAGCAACGAGACCGAAACTGAAGCAATAACATCCCTAAGCCTTGAAGCCCACAAGAACTTCAAGCCGACGAAGTAGTCGAAGAGGGGGTGTAGGTAAAGGGGCGACAGAGGCCAACATGAAGAGTTTCGGCAGGTAAGGGGTTCGGAGTTTACGTTTAGCAACAAGTCTGTGCAGACTTAGTCTGGTTCTTAGTACGGAATGGGGGAATAGATTATGGGGACTATTATTGGGGATTATATATATATATATATATATTTATATATATATATATATATATATATATATATATATTATAGGGACTGCTATAGGGATCCGCTCCCCCCTTCCCAACTAAGAACCATACAGAGGTGTTCAACTGCCTTTTATGGCACGCTATCTCAGGCTTCCTCAGCGAAACCACTGCCCCTGGTTATCCCCGCCATGGTCCGACATCATGGTCCGAAACGATCCAGCTCCCGGATCCAGACACCATAATCACTAATTAAGCAGTCCAACAGAAGCCCGAGTAACTACCAATCGTAGTCTTTAGGGTGGCTGAGTGTAAGAAATGGCATAGTCTGGCCCAAGCCCGAATTACTCCAAGTCTCGGGTTTGGGGATGCTTGCAGCTGATGAGTTCCGTCCGCCCCCAACTCCAAAACTGTCTAAACTCCTACAGCTCTAAAGTTCAAAACCCGAAAGAACCCAGGGACTCCAATACCCCCTTAATCAAGGACTATACCTTCAATCGTATTATGGGGTCCTACTCTAAATTTGGGGTACCCAGAGCCTCCAAAACCCCTTAATTAAGGAATATACCTTAAATCGTATTAGGGCTCCTATTATAATTTAAGGTAGATTCCTTGGCTAAGGGGTTTTGGAGTCTCTGGGTATGCTCCTTAGTTATTAAAAGGGTTATTGGAGTCTTTGGGAACCACTTAAAGGATCATGGGACTTAGTAACTAGGGTTATAATTAGGGTAACTATGCTTATAACCCCAATTAAGGTACTTATAACCTTATTTACTAAGTCCAATGATCCTCTTGGGGTATTAAACCCTAAACCCTAAACCCTTAGTTATTAAAAGGGGTATTGGAGTCTCTGGGAACCAGGAGCTTCTTCGAAGTGGGCAGTTGGAGTCCAAAGCGATTGCCAGCTGCAAGGGGCTCGGCCTCGGGCGATTGAGGATGAGGGGTTTTAGGGTTTCGGGTTTAGGGTGTAGGGTTTAGGTTTAGGGTTTAAGGTTGGGTTTTAGGGTTTCGGGTTTAGGTTTAGGGTTTAAGGTTCGGGTTTAGGGTTTAGGGTGTACTTGGAGGGTCATTTATAAGGTGGGTTACAAGTCACCGGACAAGAGTCAGTTATGATTCACTGGATTTGCTACCCTGAATATAACGCCACTTATAGCTACCCATTAACCTCCAAGTAGGGCGTAGGGGTTTGGGGAGGGTTTGAGCTTTAAATTCTCGAAGTTAGGGTTTTGGTTCTGGGGGTTTACGGTCTGGGCCTTCAGGATTTGAGGGTGGAGGGTTGAGGGTTGAGGGTTTCGGGTGTGGGGGTTGAATCATAGGGTTCAGGAAGGAATAATTACCAATAGTGTCCACGCATATTCCCTTACTATTTCCATGATAACACACCCCTCCCAAACCCGATTCAAATCTTTAAGGATCCGTGATTCGAGACTGATGGTGGTTATTGTTGAGCTAACCAGCATTTACATTGGTATTCAGGCTTATGCCGGCTCGAAATCTGCATGAGTCTGCTTTACGATGTTTACTCACAGCGTTTCACTTGCGCATGACACATGACGAAGGCGGTGAAACAAGCAGGCCAGCATGGCCAACAATCAGACTGCCATCATCCGCTTAGCTTCCTCAGTTCTTACACGGTAAGAATAATTCGAGATAGTAGCCACTTATACTACCAAATTATAGTTCTTGTACGGCATGATATTGCCCCCAAACCCTATTGGAAGTAGTAAGGCCCCTGTATCAGTCCTATCCCCAAACTTGGTTTTGGCTGTGCCGGCTTAATGGGTCAAGACCCGACACTCTAATACAGAGCCGGTCACACACCCCTATGGTTGGATACTGCCCCCACTCACTAGCAGTTGACCATATCTATAATATACAATAGCGCCGAAATAGTTACTACACTAATCTGGGGGTTCCTTATCATAAGTATAGTAAAATGGGCCCAGCCCTATTCTAATTATGAAGGCCCCTATATTGGGCATATAAGGCCTCTGTTCCTTTGGGCTTCGCCGCGTCCCTAAACGTTGATTCCTAAAGTCTGATCCAAACCCATTGTACAGAACCCTTAGAGGAACCCTTACAAGGAAACCCCTCATAAATTCCCTAAGCCCCAGCTTGCCCTAAGCCCTAAACCCCAAAGTAAATTCCCTTAAACCCTAGCTTACACTACGCTAAACCCTAAACCCCTAACTTGGTCCGCACTTCGAACCGAGGCTTCGAGAAACAGCGACAGGCTGCGGCGAAGCGTGAGGCTGGGACCTGTTTGCTCCAACACTCATAGGAGGCCAAAAGGTGGGGGTTTAGTAGGGATTAGGGTTCCCATAGCCATAGTAGGGTTCATATTAAGGTGTCCCTACCCCAAGAATCTTGAACGGCCTCCCATCAAACAGCCTGAGATGCCGGCGGCGTTTGGGGCTTAGAGGTTCCATAGGGTTTTGGGTTTAGTTTTAAGGCCTATTTATTATTAGTTTAGGGTTGAGCTTTTGGCTTTAGGGTTGCCCGGGGTCTACAGAAGGGTGTATTTAGGTTTAACGTTTAGGCTTAATTGGACCTGACTGGGCTCATTCGGCTGCTGGCAGCCGCCTCACCCAGAAACTCCAACCCCAAGCTTGCAGCCCAACTACTACCCAAGACTTTCTGCCCAACATCTCAATCCGAGCACCCTACCCCCGGCATTCTGCGATTAACCACAATCCTACCATGAGGATCTCATTGCAGGGCCAGCGCTGCATTGTGTATCAGTCGGGCGTGTGATTTCTTGGCCAGCATTGCCAGCATCCACCATGCTTCTCATGATCCAGACGCTGACCACCGCGTAGATTCCAAGCCATAAGCCGTATGTAAACCCAAACTAAACCTTACACCTTACGCCGTATCACCCTTGATCCAAAGCAACAGCATTCCTGAGTCTCGCAATAACTAGCCTAAAACAATGGAGCTAAAGCCTATGCAAGGTTTTCACGATATACCCTAAGCCCTATAATCCCTAAACCCTGAACCCCAAACCCCTAAACCCCAAACCCTGCAACCCTAAATCCTAAACCCCTAAACCCCAAACTCAACTCCGCCTGAGATCGCTCGCGGCTTCGAGCCCAATGTGGCGGAGCTCCAGAGCTTCACAGTGAGCCACGCCGAGGCCTTGTGGACATGGGGTTCAGGCTTTACTGTACTTGGAGGTTCATGGGTAGTGATAAGTGGGGTTCCTTTACGGGCTTTTTAGGATTTAGGGTTTTGGGTATATTAGGTCTATGGGGTTCATGGGTAGTTATAACTGGGGTTATTGGCCCCCTGATATGATTTGTAAGTATAGTTACCTACTTATAACCCGGCTTAACCTCCAAGTAGGGTCTTTATCTTTGGGATTGGGGTGATTAGGCTGGATTTATGGGTTCAGGCTTATAGGTCCCAGGCTCTGGGTCCTGGGTTTTTGGGCTCACCATAATCCTGGTACAGTTTTTGGGATGACCTGTTCTGTAGACAGCCATCGATTCTTGTTTCAGGCATCACACATGAGTTTTTGTCAAACTGGAAGAGACGGGAGAAACCTAAGCCCTGAACTCTCTAAACCCGAGACTCTCGGCAATGTGACGCCTGTGCCCAATACCTGCGGCACCCCTGACGATTCCTGGAAAGCGAGAGGTTTTAAAGAAAGCAGAAGCGAAGCGTGCCCTCGCCTCAGTTTTTTTGGCTTCAACACTATGTTCTTCAGAAGTCATCTCAGGCTTAAATACTACAGGGGCCTAAATAATTGCTTGTACTATGTTGGGGGTTCCTTAGTACTTCTGCACCCCGACCTCGTAAAGGCTGGCTGCACTTGACCAAGATACTAAACCCTAAGACCATAGGACCCGAACCCCATAGGACCCCCACTAAACCACCCTAAATCCACGCAGAAGGCCAAGAAGGCGGCTTCCAAGGCTGCTAAGAAGGCGGCCAAGAAGGAAAAGAAGGACAAGAGGTGCTCGGGGTTCTCAGAGTTTAGGGTTTATACCTGGGCCCCCAAAGTATGTAGAATAATGGCCTTTAAAAGGTTTTGGGCCATTATTCTGCCTACTTTGGGGGGTCTAGGTAGGGTTTCAGAGTCCGTTGAGGGGTTTATAGGGTTTAAGTCTTAAGGCAAGGTATGAAGATGTGAAGGGTTTAAGGGTTCAAGGTCTAGGGTTGAACAGCTCAGGGTTAAGGATGGGTAAGGGTTTAGAGTTTAAGGGTCAAGGGTTTAAGGAAGGGGTTTAGAAAGTCTATTAGTCTAAGCTCGGGTTTTGCGGATGAGCGTGGCCGGCAGCCGCCATCCCCTGAATCCAAAACCCTATACCCCTAAACCAGGCGTGCAAAGAAACGTTTGAAGAAGCAGGCGAAGCTCGAGAAGAAGGCCGCTTAGCGTGCTCCCGAGACTGTTTGTGAAAGCGGCCCGATACGGGCAAGAACCGGACAATAAGAACCCTATGGTAATAAGACAAATCTTCGTAACAGTAGCTTATAAGTGACAATATAAGAAATTGTATAACAGTAGTAACAAGATAAACCCTGCCAGATCCGGCAGGCCGCAAAGGAGCAAGCGCAGCAGAAGCGCAAGCGAAAGGCTGACTCATTGGTTTGATGTGCCCTGGTAGGGTCTTTGCCTCGCTCTGCAGGGCTCCGGCTCCTCCTCATCTGCTTCTGAGATCGAAGTGTCATCGAGCCAGAGTGATGACAGCTGATGTGCAGAAAACAGTCGCCCAGGCATGCCAAAGTCTTATGACGGCTCCTTGGATACGCGGGATCCGATTCCTAGCTAGGCGGCCCAGATCGTTTTGATGCAATTGCAAGTGCTCTAGAGTGCCGTGTGATTCCACGCGATACATGTGGCATGTGCGTCGACTGCGGCAATGTGGTGATGATGTCTCGCGCAAGTTTGCGAATGTCGGAGGATGAAAGTCATGCGACGCGTTTTTCCGTGGGTTTTTGCGTTTTAGAGACGGAGCGATTTCCGAGCATCAAGCAGATCCGCGAAACCGCTCCAGCAGGGAAATTGCACACGAAGCCAGTATCTCTACCCCCTGTTACAGAGATTGCTTGTTCTCACCCATGACTGTCGACTCGATCACGCCACCCTGCCAGCAAAGCAAATTGAAAAGCTACTCGACCTTATCCGAAACAACTCTAACACTGAACACTTCCAAAAAAAGCACTATGTCAACGATCAGCCTGAGGAAAGAAGCGGCCGTGCAAAACAAGAATTATTCCCCGGAAGTTGCAAGACAGCTAGATTGCCAGGGTCTGGAACGAATGTGCTTCACCCACCGACCGAGAATCATTTCTCTGCTTTCTCCTTGAAGACGACTACTTGCTGTGTGGGTAGTGGCGAAGAGACCGTCCTTTGCTGCAGGAATGCCACCAATGTTCGGATGTCCATGAGGTTTGCATTCATGGCAGCGTCTGAGAACAGTTTTTTGATCGGAGGCTTTTTCAGGTGGCTGCGTGTCCAATAAGTCCAATGGGCTATATAGCTTTTGGATGGTGCGGCGCCCACATGCTCTCTTCGCATCGTATTTCCACGCGTTGGGTCCAAGTTCCCCCTATCTAGCGGACGATGCACCAAGCAGGGCTTGCTCAAAACACCACCCACATGCCTTTTCATGCAGGCAGCACCACAGCTTCATCGTCGCCATGTAGAAGCATAGCATCTCTAGGATCCATTCCGCTGTGCATTTGCGATGTCCGCTCTGGCAGACCGCCTCGCGCGGCTTGAGCAGGTGTTTCTGGAACCCTCCATTGCACAGTCGACTGGAGCTGAAGGCTTCATCCATCGCATACGACGGATCGAGGAGACATGCTTCGGCTCCGAGGCGTCCGGCACGCTACCCCAGCGCCTCCGTGAGCTGGAGATCATCACCTTCGGTGAGCACTCCGAGCACCAAGCAAAGCCTCTACCTGTGAAGCCCGAGCTGCCGGAGGTCCAGGCAGAAGAAAGTGAGCCCTCGGCGTGCGCAGCCGCGTCCACCGAGGTGGAGGATCCCGAAGTTTCGGCCCTTCCTGCTGCCAAGCGGCCACGACACCAGGAGCCCGAGCAAGCATTCCAGCTGTTGGGGAACGCAGGGCCGGCGGCCAGCAACCCTGCAGCTTTCAAGGAGTTCCCCCTCAGGGAGGAACAGCTGAGATCCCTCGCTTGGATGTATGCGCAGGAGGCTCGCAGTGAGGGTTTGAGGGGTGGACTGCTTGCAGACAAGATGGGATATGGCAAGACGGCCACAACCATCGGCCTTCTTTCGGAAGACCGAGCCTCAAACAGCCCCAGCCCGAGGCCGTGGGGCTACATAAAAAATCCGGCAACTCTCATCATGTGCCCAGCGCACCTTGTGGAGCAATGGGAAGAGGAGTTCTTCAAATTCCTTGGCGCAGAAGGCATGCAGCTCTATCGCTCAGTCGTTCCCCACGGGAATGGCCTCAGGCGCTTCTCAATCACCTTCACGTTGTCCACAGACAACTTCCCCTTGGAACTGGTTCATGGTGAATTTAGCAAGACCTGGATCGTGTCAGAGCTGAGTGAAGAGATGAAGCGTCAGAATCAATCCATGAACCCGAAGAAGCGGGTCGCTGCTGGTGATGCGGTGGAGTACGTGCGGGTGGAATCCCAGGGCATGATGCACGAGTTCGTTTTGAACCGCTGGTTTTGCCGGCTTTCGGAGTTGAAGCCGCTTTGCAAAGCAGGTTGCAAGGTGGAGCTTCGAATCTTCCGTGACCGACCCAACCGAGCTCGCCTTAAGATTACAAAGGGCACAGGGCCTCTCAAGATCTTAGCCATTGCCGACATCTATGAGATGAAGCGCCTTAGACTCGGATGTTTGCTGGACGACTTCCATGTGGTCCTTGCCTCCACGCAGCTGCTGGCTTCGGACACCCACAACACTCACATTAAGGAGACACTGAAAATGTGGCGGCCTGCGGACGCGGCTTATGGTCAGGTAATGGCCGGCAAGCAGCAGGCCATGCACGAGTGCGTGGAACAGTGGCATGAGAAGGAGAGTTTTCTGGAGGCGGCACTCCGCACCGCGCCTGTCATGTTCGAGACCATGTGGTGGCACAGAGTAGTCCTCGATGAGTTTCACGAGACGGAATCTTGGAAGAAGGCAATCCGTGAGGTCTTGAAGTCTATTGGCGCCACCCACCGCTGGGGTCTCTCTGGCACTCCACCTTTGGGCGACGTGAATTCCGTCTTGGAAGTTGCTGAGCTTCTGAATTACGTGCAAGATAAGAGTTCTCCCACTATGGCACTGGCTTTCAAAAAAGGGCAGTCCAGCAAACTGAAGCAAGAGGACACGCAGCGAAAGCTCCGTGAAGAATGTCAGACCATGATCCTCGGCTTCGTGCGGCAGAACTCCTCCGCACTCGTCGAAGCCATTGCCCTAAGAGAGCACACTGAGTTCGTGGAACACACGGTAGAGGAGCGCCTGATCTACCGTCAAGCCTGCCATGACCACGGCGTGTTCGACCTTGAGGCAGCTCGGTACGAAACCCCTCGATAAAAAAAGCCTCTTGTGCATGCCGAGTCTCCCGGCTTCACCTCTCTTGCTCGTAGTGGCACTATGAAGTGAGGCATTGTCTGCTTGGATTTCTGTCAGGCTGGCTACGGCACTGCGAGCGCAGAGGTTCGGATGCAGCTCCTCCAGCGATGTGCTCACTTCTGCCTCCACACTGATGCCGAGGACATATAATCCCTTCCCCCTAATATTAAACGCCTCCCCCCCTAATATAAAAACTGGATTTCGGAGGTTTAGTTTTTATATGATGGGGGGTTTCGGGTCCTGCGGGTATGAGTCGGACTGACAGTAATAATGAGGCAGCCAGACAGTCAGACGGCTAGAGCCCGAAAGCTCTAAGCCCTAAACCTTGAGCCGTAAAGCCCTGAGCCCTAAACCCTTAAACCCTAAAGCTCTGGTGTCTTTAGTACTACGGTAGTCTTCCTTCAATTAAAACACATACAGATCTGCCACCCCCCCTAATGTCGCCCCCTTTAAATTGAATGCGGGGCCCGAACCCGCGAAATTCCGGGGGCCGGCAGTTTTTATATTAGGGGGGGGGGGGGGGTTGAATGTTCAGGGGAAGGGATTAGTCGTACATATATATATATATATATATACACATGATATATAGATAGATAGTCAGGGCTTGCATCGTAAGGGGAAAAGCCCCCCCCATTTTTTGCTCTGAGTCGCCGTCCCGAAGTCCTGAAGGATGCGTCTGCGGCTGTGCGACTGCTTGGCGCGAGCAAGCGTGCTCGCATCCAGGCTTTGCGCCGGCAGCTGGAAATGGAAGCCTCCCGTGCAGCTCTCCTGTGCCGCGGAGTGCACTTGCAGAGCAAAGTTTTGATTTGTGTGGGTCGCGGGACCACGAAATTCAGAATGGTGTCTGCACCTCTGTCCGCCCAATTATCAGCAAAGGTCCTCCTGGCCAGACATGCAGGCTGGCGGGCTCCAGGCAACATGGTGCTTGTTTCTTTTTTAAGTTACCATATGAACCAAACCATATTACTTACTTTCGATCCCTCTTATCTATTGCACCATATACCATATTATTTACTATAGATCCCTATATTATGGCAACATAAGTTACATTCCTTAACCATATTATTTACTATAGATCCCTGTTATGGCAGCATAAATGACATACCTTAACAAGAACCCAGGCAAGCATCCGGCACCCTGAGGCCGCCAAATTCGTCGGCGAACTGCTAGAATCCACTACCCAAGCGATCAAGTCCAAAGACCCAAACCTGCAGTGCCTAGAGACGCAGATCGAGCTTTACGACCAGCACGGTGAATTGCGGTTGCGCCCGGAAGTGCGCTTGAAGCAGCCTGTGAGAGACATGGAAGTCTACCCACGACTATCGGATCGCCACACTGTGCTGCATGCAGTCGTTCGGGCCAGACCGTCAGCGCTGTCCGAGGAGATCCTTTCAGAAATGGCTATTTGTGCGCAGACATGTGGGGCCGGTAATGTGGCCCAGATCCGCAAGAGGGCCTTCGCCGGTGGTTTGCAGACACTCGGCGGGCTCCTGGACGCAGCACACCGAAGCATGGACTTCTACACCTGGCAGATGCGTGGATTGCACAGTGCGGAGCTCGCAGGCTATACTTGCTCGATTTGCTTGTGTCCTGCAGATTCCTTGGCCGATCTGGCCATGCTTCCTTGTTCGCACGTGTTTCACAGGTCTTGCGTTCTTCGCGCTTTGCGTCAGCAGCATCGCTGCCCCGAGTGCCGGCAAGAAGCGTCGAGTCGCAGCATGTCTTCCGTCCTGCTCGAGGTGCAGGAGCAGGAGGGCCGAGACCGTGCAGAGCACACAGAGCCCGAGGCCAAAGAACTGTCTCCCGAGTTGCGAAAGCACGGATCGAAACTCCATGCCATTGCAACGTGCCTGCGCAAGATCCGGACGGAAGATGCCACTGCAAAGGCCATCGTCTTTGTGCAATGGGAAGGGTTGGAAAACAGAGTCGCGCATGCACTTCGGACTCACCAGTTGCCTGTTCTGCAGCTTCCACGTCGGGGCGGCGGCAGGGCGATGGCAGGAGTCATGAAAAGGTTTTGCACAGCTGCGGACAGCTTTGTGCTGCTACTTTCCTTGGACAATGTGGCGTCAGGAACTAATCTCACTGCAGCTAACCATGTCTTTTTCGTGCATCCCATGAATGCCGACACACTTAGCACCGCAGTCGCCTACGAGAAGCAAGCGCTTGCTCGAGTTCGTCGTGTTGGACAGATGAGGAGTGAAGTTCATGTATGGCGCTTCGTGACGCGCCATACAGTCGAAGAGCACATTCACAACCTCCACCAAAGACATCAGCAGGCAGCTGGAGGCGCATGAGCTCAATTGGGAATGAATGTTGGCCGACACGTAATTAGACGCACACATTCCATGGTTACAGGAAGCTTGATATCCATGGTCCTCTATAGTTTATTTAGAATCTTGAACCACGCAAATTTCTGGACATCCCACCGGTTCAAGTGCAGTAGCAGAACCATATTTATGCGATCTTGGGGACATGATGGAACATGGGCTGCCGAAAGCCCGAGGCTTTTCACCAAACCTCAGGGGGGACTGAGGTTTGCGGGGAACGCTGGGATGCTGATGAGGATGCCGAGCAGCGCAAAGCTTAAAAGACGCACCGTGATGCAATATGGGAGTTTCCGAAAATAGGGGTACCTTTTTGTGGGTCCTAATAATAAGGATCCTACTATTTGGGGTACTATATTAGGGTCCCCTATTTTCGAAAACTCCCATATGCACCAGATGTCCGCCCCGCTTTGTTGGTCCCGCTCACCGAACTTCCGACTCAGGTCACAGGTGCCCTAAACCCAAAACTCTAACAACTTTCAATCCCAAAGCCTACGAAGCCCCGCAAAAGCCACAGGCAACACATCAACCAAAAAAGCCCTAAGCCCTCAACCCACAGCCCTTTAAATCCCCTCAAATCCCTTGTTAAGCCCTCAAATCTGGACCTAAAGCGCTCGGATAGCATAGCCACCATGCCACCATCCTGACCAGAGCAGTAGTGACAAGGTGTAAACAGACGTCCCGAACACTACCCATTTCGATCTCGACCGGGCATCGCAAGCAAAACGCTGCGTTTGACCGCCTCATCCCATGGAGGGTAGCCCTGCAGAGACGGACATTCTACAGCGACTCAAACGCTTGGAAGCGAAGGTGGAGGCAGAGAACGAGCAGCTTCGCTCTGAGTTGCTGAGGTTGAAATACCGCCTTCAAGCGGAGCCAACTGAGCAGAGCATCTCTGAGTCCATGGAGAGCGAAGGGAAGGCGAGCAGCGTGATTATGACCTACCACCCTTTGGAATCCTCATTTTGGGATGCCCTGCTGTTGGCAGGGCTGGACATGACAGGCCTGGCGGGAACACTGGTAATCATCCTGGGCGTGATGCTCAGTGCCAGCCTACAACTTCTTTCTATCTGGATTGTTTTCAATTTCTTCTTGGACAAGGATGACAAGTACAAATTGCGCGATCTGAGGGACTGGCGGGTTTTGTACGGGCACAATATCGAGTACCTGGACTCCGATGCCGAGTCTTCGCTAGTTGCAAAGATGTGCAACGGGGGCCTGGTTGACCGCGCATGGTGGCAATTCCAACTGCTGGACGAAGTTAACAAGTACCTCCATCCCTTGTTCCCAGGCGCCGATGGCCTTGGCGTTGGGATTGTATTGTCCAGCATTGCGTTGACAATCTGAATTTTCAACATCACTGCGGAGTTGCAAAGCATTTGGAGCTTTACCTGGTCCATTTGGCGACTGCCCCGCAGAGAAACCCTGGTGTTGACAGAGTCAGCCAGCGAAGAACATCGGGTCTTGCAGAGCATCAGCTGCGGCCGCCTCGGCATGCTGACTGTCATGTTAATGGTACGCACAGGTATCGCGGTGGCGCTGGGTTGGGCCGGAGCGTGTTGGCTCGCAGTTACCCCGGACATCAAGGACATCTTGCTCAATGCTGTCGCTCTGCTGTTTATTCTGGAGATTGACGAGCTCCTTTACAAGGTGCAGAGAGAACAAAGAATCAAAATTCAATAGCAGTCAAAGCAGTGAGGTGACGCGTCAAAACTCGTTCACAGCTTCTTCGATGCACTTCCAACCTGACTGAGTTTCCCACAGGTCCTGGCGCCCAAACACGCCATCAAGTTCATGTCCTCGATTCGCGCGCTCCCAGTCGGCCACCGAAAGACTTGGGCAGGAGTGCAAAGTACTTTGTAGTTCATGTCATGAGCATTTAGGGGCATAGGGATGGATTAGGGTTTAGGGAGCTCTTTGCGAAGTTGCTTCACACTTTACTCTCCGAAATCGTTGTTTGGCAGTGGTGTGTCTTGATTAATGAGCGCAAGAAGCTCCTCCCCAAAGATCTGTTCAATAAACAGGAGTGGATGTCTACTGCGTTCTGAAACTCTTCATAGTGACCCTTGTCCTGGTCCTCTTCATCGGGTGCAACGTCATCCATAATGCCAAAGAAGCCCAGCAGGCCAAGGATGTCCTTTGCGGCGGCAACCAGGATTTCGTGCACGGCGTCCACCCGGAACTCGGCCTCGTTGCTGTAGCTGACACGAAGCCCTTCAAGCCGCACGCAGGCTTCGAGATTCCTGGGATGCGTAAGGTGTTGGATGATGTGGTTTCCAAGTACGATCTGGACACCTTCGTGCGAGTGGGCGGTAGCTGGGGCAGGGTCCAAGAGGATGATGAAAGCCCGATTATTCTGCATAGCGAAGACGGGGTAAACCAACTTTCAGACTGGGTGAAATTACCTTTGAACTCAGCCAGTATGCCGGTTGCTTGTCGTGATCAAGAGATTGGTGGCATCGTGTATTATCCCGGGACCGAAATTCCTGCATGGGGGCCAGCAGGTTCTACGTTCGCTGCGTTTACCAGCTGGGCGTGGCAATCCCTGACGGCCATGACAGGTGCCACCAACTGCACCCAAGCAAGAACCTTCTGCGACGACATGGCCATGCCATTGGTGCGCGTTTTGTGTCCTGACACCTGCGGATGCAACGTCGCAGACAGCGGCATCACCTTTGATTACGGCTGCCTCGAGCAATGCAGGGGTACAGTGGGGGCCTTCAGGGAAAGTTTGGAACAGGCCCCGTGCCGGGACTTCACGGGCGAAGCGCAACGCCAGCAAGCATGGCAGCGCTTTTGGACCCTGTATTGGTCTGGCGGCTCTGGTGACACTTTGAGGGACTATTTGCAGGGGAACTGTAGTGTTGTCCCAGTCCCGAAGTTTTGCAACTTCTATCCCTGGACCCATCACGGGCAGCGCGATGTGGAACTTCGCCCGCTGACCGTTCTCTGCCCAGAGACATGCGGCTGTGCAGACTCGAGTGACTCAGACTCTGTGACATGGTGCCCCAAAAGTTGCGTAAGCCGTGAGGCAGGATGAGGCGAGAGCCAGACCCAAAGGGTCCAAATATCGCTATACCAGTAGTATATACTTATAGGGTATTTTGGGGGTCGAAGTATATACCATAATGATACTCGGACCCTTTGGGAGAGACAAGCCAGAGAGCTTTGCCACCCGGGACCGAATCAATTTCTTGCGCATCTTTGTGTTTGGTGCCAAAGTGCAGCAAACGAGCTTCCGGAAGAAAGTCGGCACCTGACAGCGCGTTGCTTGTAAACACCACTCGGAGGGGAAAGGGAACAAATACTACAAATAATATTTTAATATATTTTAATACTATAGTAGTTCTGTAATGATACCATAACCATACTACATGACTAAAATAGTATACTACTGGCCTGTTATAGTTATACAGCGGTTTTACAGGAAGCTAACTGGCCGAGGCCACGAATCGCGACGGCCGCACGGCGATTACACGCACACCATTCTGTGCTTGCCTGGTGTACTTGGAGGTTCATTGGTAGTTATACGTGGGGTTACAAGTCCCTTAATATGGGTTATACTTATAGTTACTTCACTTATAAACCTACTTATGACCACCCATGAACCTCCAAGTACAGCAGCTCAAGGACAACAAGCGGGCCAGACAGAGCCTCTACCCGTTTACGACGGCACTAATTCTAGTCTTGTCTGTTGGCCGACATGGCGCTCGGCACGTTTGAATACTTATTTGAGCAGTTTGGATGAGCTGACCGCGCTATGAAGCCGGTGTTTGAGGTGAAGCACATGACCGCAGCTTTTCAGCATCGAGTGGCATGATCATGTGCAGGATTAGACCATGTGAAGCGGTCGAGCGCGCGGATAGCGTAGCCACCGTGCCACCATCATGACCAGAGCAGCTGCGACAGAGTGTAAACAGACTTCGGGAACACTACTCATGTCGATCGCGACGGGGCATCGCAAGTACTGCCCTGCATTTGACCGCCTCATGGGCATCTATGTTTTTCCAGGCTGTGAAGAGTACGGTTCCTCTTTGACCTCATCGTTCGGCGAATCCAGGAAGTTTTGGGTGTGAACCTAGGTTCCCTGTAGCACAGAGACATAGTAGCAGTGAGAATGGTTGGCCAGCATACATATGGGACTTTCCGAAAACAGGGGACCCTAATATAGCACCCTAAATACTAGGACTAGGATCCTTACTGTAAGGGCCCCAAAATAAGGTACCAAACTCCCATATACTCTGGCCAGACATCTGCCATTCCGGCCTTTGCTGCCGGTCTGAGCTATCCGACATGGTTTCAGCCATTCTCGCTCGGCGGCTGGAGGACTGTAACTGCCGCTACATCAGGTACTATGTTGCGGCACTCTATATAATAAATGGGCAGCATTTTCTAAACTCGCGTGTTGGCGAAAATAATTCGGGGAACATAGATGCATGTTGGGGCTTAACACCATGTTGGCGTGGCGCTCAAGTAAGGTATTGTTCGAGATGGAGATGCATGTGCATGTGTGGATACCAACATCGATGTCAATATCAAGGTCAATGTATGTATATATGTATGTATGCATGTATTATATGAGGATTTACTCAGTTACGGTAGGGCCCGCGGCCCGTAGCACAGTAGTCCGTGCCTTCCACAGCGTTTCTGCCTTTGTTCCCAAAGTAGCCAGAAGGCTGTCTCATACCCCACCCCTTGCTCCTCGTGCCCCAGCACCTCCGTCCGCAAGGAAAGTGACGTCGAGGTTGTCAGCATCCATGCCAGGATCCTGGTAGCCATTCGAAGATTTGAGGTCGCAGCGTATACCTACTCAGCTGCGTCATTCAACCTAACTCAGGTTATAGTTCTCATATGATATACTACCTTGTTTTGTGTATGCTGTTATGCGCTGTTCCACACTTTCAGACAACACTTCACAAGCTAGCGAGCGCGTGCTGCCTCGGCCGAGCTCCTGGATTTCGGGCCTCGAG